TCCCATGGGCGCTTTGTCCCCATCTTCAGCAGCCAGCACAGTTCCAATACTGATGGTACCGGTCACAATCTGGTGTTATATGTCCGTCCTGTCTTTCCTCTGAGTGTAGTGAGCCGACCAGAACCCTCTGGTTACACTCAGGTCCCTCATTCTCTCGAGGCCATAATAATCTTCTTTCTTCAGGGCTCCTGCCTGTGAGGCAAGGAACCAACAGTCTGCATACAGGTAAGCCAGATTTATAAAACAAATGTTCATGCAAAGTACAAGTTTTGGATCAAGACTAAAGCCCAAATGGAGGTAAACAACCTTTGCCATCCTCTTCTTCAACAACACCCCCCCCCCTCCCCAATGTTCCTTGAAGTACAGTGTTTGCAATCGAATAGATATGTCTTGGATGTAGCCCAATATTTGTCATAAAAGTACTACTTTGTCACAAATTACTGTTACATTGAACCTAACTGTTGAAATGTTAGATCTTCATATACCGTAGTCCAGTATCACAGAATGTTGGATTGCACCTACCAGACCTGACATTTCCCCCCCCCCCCACCCACCTCCTCATTGTTTCACTGGCTTTGTGTGGTGGAGTACACTGGGCAGAATACTAGCTAAATCTTAGGAAGAAGAAATGCAACCTAAAATCTTTCTGTTATGGCAAGGCCGGCCAGGTCCTAAGTCTTGGCTGGCAGCTGGTCTAGGAGGGAAGCTTCCAGATCCATACTTAATTCTGAACTCATATAACCTTACATGGGTTGCTTCATGCTACTTCATATCTTCCTTAAATGTCTTGCAGCAAAAGTCAAGAGGCATCTGGAATCACTGGAACGTCATGTTGAAGGGAGTAGAACCAAAGGCAACAAAAATACGAGAAATGCTGGTTCCAACAATGGATACAGCCAGATATACTTACCTCATTGAGTTGTGTATTCAACACAGCAGGTGGTTTGTTGTATTTTGTAATGTTGGTTGTTGTATTTTGAGTTGTTGATAATTGTATATGTTGTGTTAATAGTTGTTGAATTTTGTGTTGTTGGTTATTTTAATTCTTAATGTTGGTTATAATAATTTGTGTTGTTGTGTTGTTTGTTATTGTAATTTGTAATGTTGGTTATTGTAATTTGTATTGCTGGTGATTGTAATTTGTGTTGTTGATTATTGTAATTTGTGTTGTTGGTTATTGTAATGTGTGTTGTTGGTTATTGTATTTTATTTTGCTGGTTGTGGTATTTTGTATTTTTGGCTGTTGTAATTTGTGTTGTTGGTTATTGTAATTTGTGTTGTTGGTTATTTTAATTTGTATTGTTGGTTATTGTAATTTGTATTGTTGGTTTTTGTAATTTACGCTGCCTGTTGTTTATTTTATGTCCCTGGTTGTTGTATTTTGTGTTGTTGGTTATTGTATTTTGTGTTGATGGTTATTGTATTTTGTATTGTTGGCTACTGTATTTTGTATTGTTAGTTATTGTATTTTATGTTGCTGGTTGTTGTATTTTGTATCGTTGGTTATTGTATGTTGTGTTGTTGGTTGTTATAGTTTGTTTTCTTGTTTGTAGTTATTTCACTAAATCACATGTTTTGTTTGTAATACCAATACTATAATTTTATCTGTCAACTGATTTGAAAAGAAAATTAATCTTGGCTTCCAGATCAGCGCTGCCTAAAATGGGTGGTAGGAGAATCGCACATCAACATGGCAGGCCTGAAATTGGTTACATCACCTCCACATGTGCATTCTGGGGCCTTTTGGGGAAAGGGGTGGGGGTGTAGAATAGACCATCTGCCCTCTCCTGACAAGATTGTCATAAAACTCACCAAATTAAAAGGTTTTTTTCAATTGAAATCAAATGAATCAGCTTGAGTGATGAAGAACAGTCTACTTACAAGTAAGCCAGATCTGTAAAACGGATGTGCACCAAAATGCAAATTCTAGACTGAGACTAAAATTCAAAAGTGGATTAACACTCAGAACTGTCTGTCCGAGTTAACAGGCAGTGAGCATAAGAAGAAGAGAGGAGACCCCTTCACCTATTGAGTGCCAATTAGTATATTAAAATATAAGTTTTGCATAATATGCTTGCTTGTGTCGTGGCACCCAAGGCATAAGAAAAATTGTGTTTTTTGCTAGCCATGTGCCTAGTGTGACTCAAGGTAAAGAAATGTTGTTCTTTGCCTTACTTACTTACTATCTACTTGTATGCGTCACAGCTTGCAAACAGTGTCCTTTCAATGTGTTTACTTACTGCATACTCTGGACTGTCAAAAATATTTTCTCATTATCTTCTTCAGTCTCTCTTGCCATAAACTTTCTTGGCTTTTACAAGGCGGACAGAAATAGCACTATAAGGACACTCTCAAAACTGCCCTCAACTCTTTTGGCATCAGCAACAGTGACATGGGAGGTTGCTGCACAGGACCGTTCTGGATGGGGTGCATCCCTCAGGCATGATGCATCGGCCTGCCAGGCAGCGGAGGTTGCACAGGCAGAGAAACGGAGGCAGGATAGAAAGAACCGTATCGCTAATCCGACACCTAATACAGCTTCCACCTGTTGTCCGCACTGCTCAAGAACTTCCCAGGCTCATTTTGGACTAATCAGCCACCTTCTTACTCATAATCATTGATCAATACTACTTTGGATGAAAAGTATTCTTCATCGCTCGTGATGGACGAACAACAGCAACTCATCTGTGGAGGAAGGTCATAGGTTTGAGTCATGACAGAGCCAGATTTTTTTCTTCTTCAGAAATGACGTTGGATGCCAGGTTGACCCAGCCTTAAATGGGTACCAGGTAGAGTTCTGGGAAGTAAAAATGGCCGGCGTGATGCTGACCCACATCACCCACTGAGTTTCGATTTGTCTACAAAATATAGGTCAAGCCCTGTTTGCTCAGGATGCCTAAAGGAGTGGAAAAGGGTCCTTTACTGCTTTATGATGTGTTTCAAGTTATGCAATCATAAAATGACAGCCTTGTCTTTTTGAGTTTTAAGAGCTAACGTGTTTTAATTATTGTTTCCCTCGTATAAGACCGCTGCTGTTTGTTGGACCAACTGGCACAGGTAAAACTGCATATGTACAGCAGAAACTGATGCACGGCCTACCACAGGACAAGTACCTGGCCACATTTGTTAACTTCTCGGCTCAAACCGGAGCAAATATGACACAGGTAAAATATCACAGCACTCTTTTTCTCAGGTTATTGTATAACAGGGTGGCCAACCTTTGTAGGTTGACAGTGACTTTACATTTGTCTTGTGTGTGGTTTTGGCGTGGTTCTATGCCTTAGAGGTTAGTGAACTTGCTTCAGGCTCATCATCATCAAGTGCCTTGCCAACTGGCATGAGCGATCATGCCTCTCCACAATCTGCGATCTGCAACTGTGTGTATCAGTTCATGTGTTGAGATCCCTCCATGCAATGACAAAAGACTGTCAAGAATATTTTTGCGCTGTCTTCCTCTGTCTCTTTTTCCACAGATCTTTCCAGTGGTCACAACATGTTCCATTTTCCCTCTTCTCATAGCATGACCAGAAAATGATGACTGTCTATTTCAGATGTTTGTGATAAGTTATCTTCAAGCATTCGCCTCTTTCAAAACATCTGAGTTGCTCTTCTTAGTTGTCCAAGGAATTCTAAGGATTCTTCTGTAAAACCGCATCTCTGAGGCCTTGAGATATTGTTCAGTTTGTTTATTAATTGTCCAGGTTTCACAGCCGTATATTAAAACTGGCTTTACATAGCATGCGAGAATTCTTGTCCTAACCTCCAATGAGGTTTATTGCATAAAATGTTCTTCATTTTGTAAAATGCAGTTTTGGCCTGTCCTATTCTATTCTTTATCTCTGTGATACATGTTCCATCTGATGTTATCCATGTGCCTAGATACTTACATTTCAGTACTTGTCCTAAAACAATGCCTTTGACTTTTATTATACGTTTAGATACTATTATTTATTTTGGAAATCCCAGATTCTGCTGTACATCTAGCTTCAGGCCAGTCTGATTTAATTAGATCATGCTCTTAAGCACTTTAGCTAAGGAAGTTAGTGCTAAACAAAGATCTACCAGCTGTGTCAAAACACCCATAAAGGGAAATATTATAAACAGACTGGAAAACAAACACTGGAAAAGAACATAACTTCCTTGAACATCTAAACATAACAGGCCTGAGAAGGATCATCTGTTGCTAATGCACTAAACAGTGCAGACTCAGCAAATACTCAGGAGAAAAAAGTTCAGTATAAACCAAAGAACACTCTGCCAGTGTGAACAGAATGCAGACCATGTCTCACAAGGCTGTCCATTCCAGGAAAAACTGTAAAGCAACATATAGCCACACCCTATAGTCTTGACTACTAAGCTTTGGAGCAGCCTTTGTTCTGACATCCCAGTGTACGGCCCACAATGGATTAAGTGAAGGACCAGAGATCACTGAAGAAGAAAAAGAAGCATGCAGCAGGACGTTTTTTTTTATACAGTGGAATCTCAAGATGCAAATGTACCTGGATAGGAGTTTTTCAGAATATGAGGACAGGGTCGCCAGTTTGTATGCCCCAGAATACAAAACAGAATATGAGCAGCAGAGACAAGAACTCTTGGCACTACCCTGTAGTGTCTTGATAACCACCAAAGAAGGACTTGACCCAATTAACAAGGCACTTGATGATAATGAACTGCATCATCATGGTCAAAAGCAACCCCATTTACTGCTGCCAGAAATAAACAAAATGTAGTACCACACATTTGCCCCATTAACAAAATGATCATTTTGAAACTGAAAGGCAAATTTTGGGAATGAATTAAAATTATTGACATTAATGTTAATGGAAAAAATAGTTTCAGGATTTCAGAATACAATTTATTCACTATGTGACCTCAGTTATGGAAGGGATTAGGTTTGTAACCTGAAATGCCATTGTAGTTATAATAGAGAGTATTCTGCCATTGACACCACATTACTCTGGAAGACATACTGAGAAGGATAAGTGTTAATTTCCTTCTAGAGCATCATCATGTCTAAGCTGGACAAGAGACGAAAGGGAGTGTTTGGGCCTCCAATGGGAAAGAAGGCTATCATATTTGTGGATGACTTGAACATGCCTGCCAAAGAAGTCTATGGAGCCCAGCCTCCCATCGAGCTGCTGAGACAGTTTATTGATCATGGCAACTGGTTAGTAATGCTTGTAAAATTTATGTAATGAAGTATTGTTTGTAAAAATCATGTAATCATTTGTCATTACAGATCTAAAGAATTTTACCTGAGAAATTTTATATTTGTAATTATTATGTACTAATTTTCTAGAAACAAAATTAGACAGTTTTGAAAATAAATGCCTTAGAAGAATACTAAATTTCAAATGGTCAGATTTCTGAACCAATACACAAATAAGGCAAGAATCCAAACAAGAGTGTGTGTCTAATTTTATACGAAAACGCCGCTGGAACTATGTCGGCCACGCCCTTAGAATGGATAAATCAAGACTTCCTTACCAAGCCCTCATTTGGACACCACAGGGGAAAAGATCTCGTGGAAGACCAAGGAAAACCCTACGCAGAACTATCATCAGGGAAGGCTCACTCATGGGCCACTCAAACATCCAAGACCTACAACAGATTGCAACGAACCGCCATGCATGGAGAGTCATGACCTCTGCCCTATATGCCGCACTCGACACAAGAGGAAAGACTAACTAATGTACTAATTTTTACTGTGGGTAATAATGTTTGACCCAAATGGACAATTTGATGCAAGTAAAATTATCTACTTATTTATATTATTAAAATTGTTGACCCTGAAGGGACATGATGACACTTAAGAGTCCCTGATGCATAGCCTCCATATCTTTCGACTGCATCTGCCCAAGAGACAAGGAACTGAGAGTTTGCATATAAATAAGCCAGATCTATAGTCTACTTACGTCCTTTTTAGGACGTAATTTTTTTGTTATTTGAAGCCCCACTCTGGCTTTTGCCAGGGGCCGCAATATAGGCAGGCCGTAAATATGGCCAATTGTCTGAACGCGGTTTCTGGGACCTCTCCACGGTGATCCTCATCCACATGGTGGCACTTTGTGTCATCGGGTGTTTATCGCTTGTGTGATGTCCTAGTGGGGTAGAAAGTCAGTCAGTCAGTCAGTCAGTCAGTCAGTCAGTCAGTCAGTCAGATGTGCATGCAACACTCAGGTTTTGGAACGAGACTAAAATCCTGAAGTTCTACTAGGAAAAAAAATCATGTATGAGTCGGAAGGGGTTAAAATACTTTTAAAAAAAATAAGGTTGCAATAAACTGAACTAGCAATTTAGTTACAAAAAGTTCATGTAGCAAATGACAGTTACCGAAAAAAGTTAAACAAGTAGGTTTTCTAAGGACTTTCCAGTTAATACACAGTGAGGAACTGTTTACATTTCTTTCCTACAGAACTTTCTTCTGTGGGCTTACCTTTCATGGTGTCTCATGCGCACACACACATACACACACTAAAATGAATGTGCTGTCTTGGTTTTGACACCATACATGATCACCAGTCTTAGATCAGGCCTGTGTTTTTGGTTTATACATGTCATATGGCCGTCATCTAGATATTTATCTCTTTGTCTTCACCTGGCAATGACGTGTCCATCATTTTACTTGTTGTCACCACATTTTCTGGTTTACTTCTCGTCACAACATGTTCAGAGACTGTCTGTATCTAAATTCTGTTATCAATTAACAACTCTCGTCCATTTCTCGTAGAACTGCCTCATTCCTTTTCTGTTTATATCTAAATTTTCTTATCAGTTATGTGTATGTAGCTTAGGCATTCTGAACACAGTTTGTAATTCCAAGATACATGGTTCACTTCCAGTTGCCAGAAATTTAGCAGACTGATTTTGACAATAGTATTTAGAGCCACGCATTGAGAACCATTTCTGCACATTTTGGCCCGAAACATTTGATTTCAGCAACTCCTTAAGCTCCTTTTTACTTGTTATGGGGACAGTTGTCATATTTTTTTCCCCTGCCAAGCTACTTATCATAAAAATGCCTAGAAACATCACTAAGAGGTTCTGGAATGTTCTATAATGGATACACAACTGATCTAACTTATCACTTCACAGTTCTTATCTGTTTCCTAAAGCACCATCTGTTTCATTTTCTGTCAGTCCGTGGTTTCTTAGCATCTTTTTTTGAAAAACACATTGTCATTTCTTGCCTTTTACTGTTTTATCAAATATTATTCCTTTCCCTTCAGTGCTATCAAATTCAATACACGTTCATTAATTTTTCAAACTGATCACGTGATCCAGGTATGACCTCAAGGACACTAGCAAGATCACTCTACAGGATATCCTCTTTCTGACAGCAATGGGTCCCCCTGGTGGCGGACGCAACACAATCACTCTTCGCTTCATGAGACACTTCAGCATTATATCCATGAACCCTTTTAATGAAGAATCTATGACCAAGATTTTCAGTACACTGATTAGCACCTACATGAGGGTAGGTACTTAGCTGTGGCTATTTTGTTTTGTATTCTTATCTTCTTCTTCTTCTTCTTCTTCTTCTTCTTCTTTTTTTTCTTCTTCTTCTTCTTTTTTTTCTTCACCGACTGTAAACTACTGCGGAAAGTTCTGGTTGTTCATCCACTTCTGGAATCTAGTCCCGTTCCAAAAACTGAGTGTTGCGTGTACATCTGTTTTACAGGTCTGACTCATTTGTATGCAGATTGTTGGTTCCTTGTCTCTTAGGCAGATGTACTCAAACTTCTGAGGAAGCTCCCAAAAAATCAACTCTTATGACACGCTTTTGGGCAGGCAGTGGGTCTATTCTTGTTTTCCCCACAATAGGGCTCCGGAACCCACACGGGAAGTATTCTTATGTTGTCCAAGGGCAGCTTATCACTAATATTAGAAAGAGACAGTCATAATTTTTTTTGACCATCCAAAAATCTTAAAAGAAGAAAGAAACTAGAAAATGTTATATGGCTAAAAAAGATTTGTGGAACGAGAGTCAATTAGACTTATAAGTTAGATTATCTTCACAGCACTCCGGACTCATCGATAGGCACTCAGATTCCCCTCTCAACATATTCATCAGCGTCGCACGGTTAATAGTGCCAGTCCTATGTTGTTTAACAAGACTTTGTATGCATCTGGTATGCTTCTCATGCTTAGCTGTGCTAATCTTGATAAAGGAAGGCAATGTTATATTGTTCTTGACAGTGTTTTATCATGTTATGGAGGGGTGTCGACACACATACTGATACATACCGATGATCACAAGTTGTGGAGAGGCATGATCGCTCATGCCAGTCAGCAAAGGACTTGATGATGAAGATGATAATTTATATTTAGAGCCATTCAGCCATAGTAACCTTAACTGAGGACAACACATGCATGAACTAATATTTCCTTAAAACACAAAAAAAGATACATGAAGCAAAAACAAGACCAGATAAGAAAAGTAAATGGGTGTGTAACTTACGTGGGTAGTAATAATGCCCTGTAGTATCAGCAAGGCTTTTTTCCTGTGGTACACAGTGGCAGCTTTTTTTTTTTTGGGTATATTTGTAAAAAAACACATTTTGATGAGTACCAGTACCATTTTAGACACTTTTTGGTGAGTACTAGCACTTTTTATTTCTACCACACAAAAAAAGCATGGTGGGTAATGAACAGGCAGACAAATTGGCTGGATCTGCACCACTGGGTGGTGAATTGATGCATGACAAGGCAGATGTGGTCAGTGCCCTTTGGGAACAAGCAATGTAATCAGTTGAGAAACAAGATTATTATGGCTTGGAGAGAAGCCTGGCCACACTACAATCAGAGGAAAAACAAGATGGACATATAACTAGATTGTGACCGGTACCATCGGTATTGGAACTCTGCATGTTCTGCTGAAGATGAGGACGGAGCACGCATGGTAATGCCCCGATTGCGGTGATGTCAATTCTTGACAACTCAACTCAACTTCTACATTCAGTTACAGCAGAAGCTGTGGTTTTCTACTTATCTTCTGAATAATTATGTCTCTAATTTAAATTGCCACCTACATTTTTTTTATTTTGGGACTACCTCAGCAAACAGACTTTTCATCAGAAGCTTTCAATCTTGGCCTATTAATTGTTGGTGCTACACTGGAGATGTACAAACAGGCAATGAAGAACTTACTGCCAACACCAGCCAAATCACACTACATCTTTAACTTACGAGACTTCTCCCGCGTTATACTTGGAGTTTGTCTGATCAAGAAGGAGCAGATAGAGGACAAAAAAACTCTTGTCAGGTGATTTTTTTTCTTTCTTTTTTTTAGATATGAGAATTTATCTTTAGTGTTGACACTTTAAGTTTGAATAACATTTGTAAAAGGTTGTATCAGGTGTGGTGGGTTGATGGGTAGAGAGATATTGCAGCCTAAGTGTAAACCATAAAACAAAGTGGCAGCAACATCTATGATGCTGAATAAAGAAGAAGAATAAGCAGAAATAGAAGCAGCAGCAGCAACGGAAGAAGCAGCAGAAGGAGAAGCAGCAGAAAAAGCAGCACCAAAAGAAGCAACAGCAGAAGCAGCAGCAGCAGAAGAAGCAGCAGAAACAGCAGCAGCAGAAGCAGCAGAAACAGCAGCAGCAGAAGCAGAAGCAGCAGCAGTAGAAAAAGCAGCAGAAGCAGCAGCAGTAGAAAAAGCAGCAGAAGCAGCAGCAGTAGAAAAAGCAGCAGAAGCAGCAGCAGTAGAAAAAGCAGCAGCAGCAGCAGCAGAAGAATAATAATAAGAAGAAGAAGAAGAAGAAGAAGAAGTGAGAAGCTGTGAGTTTTCTTTTTTTGGTTCCCCCACTTTTTAATCACTTTTTTTTTTTAATTGGGGCATGGGAGGTCTTGCCATACATTTAGGGGGGTGCCAACTGGAAACGGTTGAAAACTACTACCTGGGATCAACCAGTATAATGTCTCTTGCTCTGACACTGTTCCTTCTACAACTTATTACTAAATATGAGCCTTCCATTTCCCTTTCACTAGACTATGGGTTCATGAAGTGATGAGAGTTTTCTATGACCGTCTGACAGATGATGCAGATAGACAATGGCTGTTCAAGTAAGTGATCTGTATTGTATTTGATTGCTTGAACTGAAACAGAAGTTTATTGTAGATTGGTAAAAAAAATGTATGACTGTATGAATTGTAAAATTGATAGAAGATATGCGGTGGTTGTTCAAGTAGTAAGTTGTCTGCATTCTCTTTGATTGCTCTAAATGAAACATGTTTACTTTGAGTTGTAGATTTGTTCACAGATTGGATTGAATGTATTGATTATAGGACTAATTCTGTTATATTGAATTTCTCTTTATTTATTTTTCTCTCTCTAATAGATCTGTGTCCGCCATCTTGAAAGATAATTTTAAAGAAAACATGGATGTGCTGTTCGCTCATTTGTCAAGTAAAAGTCAAGGTGGCAAGGTGAGACTGCACATTTCTTCTGTGTTTTAACTCTTTCAACCCCAGGGGGATTAGCAACAGAGGCCCAAGTGGTAGTTAAGAGAGGTGTAAAAACATCACATGTTGTGTTCTTTGGGCTTCTAGGTAGGACCCTATGAACATATGATGCGTTCCTTGGGAGTGATTTAATTGATTTATTGATTTATTGTTTGATTAAGTGATTGATTGTTTGTTTGATTGATTAGTTGATTGATTGATTGTTTGATTAATTGATTGATTGTTTGAATAATTGATTGATTGTCTAATTGATTGATTGATTGTTTAATTGATTGATTGTTTATTTGATTGATCGAATAATTGATTGTTTGAATAATTGATTGATTGGTTGATTAATTGATTGATTGTTTGATTAATTGACTGATTGATTGATTACTTGATTGACTGACTGACTGATTGATTGATTGACTGATAAACAGATGCTCCCTGAAACCTAAGGAATTGGTAACTTTGAAAGGACCCGCAAACTTTATCACTTATGGGGCAAATTTGTAGTCAACCTGGCTTTAAAAAAAAGAAATTTGGTTGATAAGACTTGGGAAGATGACACTAACAATATCTCAGGCTATGAAGGTTTGAGGTTTGCACAATGGATCGACATTATGGCACATAGGTAGTAACCCATAAGTGCTCGGTTTTTCTTCGAACTCAAGACTGAGTCCAAAGAAGCTCAACACAGTGCACAAGCTCTGTAGCACCGGTGAGGATCCTGAAATACTTTGAGTAGATTTTAAACTCCAATTTTTGCCTTGGCAGCGCTGTGAGGCTACTTGTTTTTAATTCCAACTGCCAAGAGATTCTTTATGTGCGCAACAATGCACATGGGCATCCGATCTCACTACCCAGAGAACCACAACAATGCACACAGGCATCCGATCTTACTACCCAGAGAACCACAACAATGCATACGGGCATCCGATCTTACTACCCAGAGAACAAGGAGAATTACTAGAAGTCCAAGTCCACATAAAAAAATCCTAGCCCTTACCGGGGATTGAACCCGGCACCTCTAGCACTCGAGGCGGACACCATGCCTCAAGACTACGCAGCCCCCTCAGGCTATGAAAATAAATCAAACCAGCAAGCTTTACAGTATCACAAAAATAAGTGAATGTTGCGACTAGAGAACCTTCACCATCACAGACATAAATCTACTGTACCACAAATACACAGACTATGAAACTAATTCTTCTGTGCTTCATCCCCCTAGGTCCAAGAAGAGGATCTGCGGAGTTTAATGTTTGGAGATTACATGGACCCTGACGCGGTTCCTGATGACAGAGTTTACAAAGAGGTCCGCTCCCTGGACGACTTCTACAACATTGTTGGCACCTGTTTGGATGAGTACAACATCACACACAAAAATGCCATGAACCTGGTTGTGTTCAGGTGAGACTTGATTTTGTAGATACAATCTACATTCTTTGGCCATATAGATACAATCTACATTCCTTGACCATATAGATACAATCTACATTCCTTGACCATATAGATACAATCTACATTCCTTGACCATATAGATACAATCCACATTCCTTGGCCATATAGATACAATCTACATTCCTTGACCATATAGATACAATCTACATTCCTTGACCATATAGATACAATCTACATTCCTTGACCATATAGATACAATCTACATTCCTTGACCATATAGATACAATCTACATTCTTTGACCATATAGATACAATCTACATTCTTTGACCATATAGATACAATCCACATTCCTTGACCATATAGATACAATCTACATTCCTTGACCATATAGTCATTCTTTGACTGTTTAAAAGTCATTTTTTTTTCTAATGAAGAATGGAGAATGAATTCACAATCTTTATCCGTGTAGAAACAGATTACATTCTTGTCCCCCCCCCCCCCAACACACACGCACGCATGCACACACACTCACACTATATCTGTGTGTGTGTGTGTGTGTGTGTGTGTGTGTCAGTGTCTGTGGCTTGGGTGTTGCCAATGCTGCTTGTAATGCAGGGTTCTAGGTTTGATTCCAGTTGCATGTGATTTGGCAGCAGAAAATCTTGCGCTGGTTTCGACAGTGGTACCGAGACTTGATTGTTCAGAAAGCAATGGCAAAATACTGAACATAAAATTTGACTAGATAAACAACAGCCAAGAAAAAAGGCTGGGTTGGTGCTGCAACATCCTGTAAAGGATATGCAACCTAATACGAGTTATGTATGTAGGGTCATCGAGACGGATTGCTAGGATTTGAAACTGTTCAAATAAAAGTTGTATTTAATTGATATTCTCGTGTAGTGTCTTAAAATGTTCAGAAAAGTTTTAAGTTTTGTGCGATTGTGTGGCTTAAAACAACATATGTGGGGGGAGCAAGAGTAGGACTGCCAGACTACTCTTTTCACTTTGCTTTAGTGTGAGTTGGTTCCACACGTGTGCATCCATTGAATACTTCTTTTATATTAACAGTTTAAAATCCTGGCAATTATTCATGACGACCATATATATATATATATATATATTTATATTTCCTGTTTCACGAGAACCAGACATTTCCAGTTCATTAATTTGTTTATTCTACTTTTTCTTGTGTGTGTGACTTACTGTGATCAAATTCTCTGATTAAACCAGTGATATATTATTACAGGTACGTTTTGGAGCACCTGTCTCGTATCTGCCGTGTCCTCCGTCAGCCAGGAGGAAATGCTTTGTTGGTGGGTGTAGGAGGAAGTGGGCGCCAGTCACTCACAAAGTTGGCTGCAGCTATGGCAGGCCACAGTCTTGTACAACCTGAGATCTCCAAAAGTTATGGCTTGCAAGAGTGGCGCGAAGATGTGAAGGCTAGTATTTTTATTTTTGCATTTAAGGCGGCCAAACTAGTCAATCCTCGTGATATTTGATTGCTGGATTTTAATCCATGCCAAAGCAGATTTTTATAATTGACTAGCACTTTCAGATAACCCAGCCTTTAGTGGGTACCAGAAAAGTTTCATGGGAAGTCATTAGTTACTCATTCTTCAGTCGAAGTAACAGCATCAATAAAAAGTGGTCGCTTCATAACGGCTCCTTACCTGTGCCAGTGGAAATCACAAAAATGTCCTTCACTGTCCCGTATGAAAACTAGTGAAAAACTTGTCAGTCCCACTGAAAGCCTGGAAAGTGCTGGCAGCCAGTGAGATGTTGAACACTTTATCCATCGAGTGTCACATAGTTCACAAAAACATTAGTCTAGTATCCCTGCTCAGTGGGCCAATGGTGTGAGAAGGGTCATTGACTTTTTGTGTGATTGAACTGGTTCTGCCACTGTATTTGAATTGTGCTGCAGCTAATATACTTCCCAGCTCAGCTGTGTCTGTTAAATGTGTCCAAACTTTAAAAAAAAATTACTTTAGTCCCAGGGAAGGGGATGGAAAGGGGGGGGGGGGGGTAGCATTGGAGGCCAAAGGGCTAGTAAAAGACAGATGTAAAGTTGGCTCATCTTGCATTCACTAGACAATGCATTTTTTTAGGATTGAAAGAGTTAAATGGGTGCCCAACTGTTCTTTTAATTTTCTTGAAATGAAAATTCTAACCTGCACAGTTTGTGGCAACCCCACTAGTCATGCAGCCTTAAAATCTTTAGACTTTGGAAAACCCCCCCCCCCCCCCCCCCCCCCCTTCCACCGCCTTTTCCCCTGACCTACCTATACTACATCCCCCTAAAAATGATACATATAGGCGATAAAAACAAACAGTGTGTTATCCACCATCAAGGAGTTAATTGCCTTTTTGTTATCTACAATGGGATTACATTAGTCCTCATCTGATTTGTAGGCAGGAAAGTTATTTTACACAAGTTTAACACAAGTGCTCATGGGATATCTGTTTTCAGAATGTGCTAAATACAGCTGGGGGACAAGGAAAGACAACTGTGTTTCTGATTACTGACACTCAGATCAAAGAGGAAGCCTTCCTTGAAGACATTGACTCTCTTCTCAACACAGGGGAGGTGCCGAACCTCTTTGCTTCCGATGAGAAAGTAGAAATTATGGAGGTATGTAGTATTTAAAGAACTATCATAGTTTTGGGAATTATAATAAATTGTTAATATGCTGTAACAATTATAATAATGATTCTAAAAAAAGCATGGGTGGCTCAGGCAGAAGACACAATCAGACAGGTCTGCATCCTGGATACATCAGGTGAGGAGAGAAGTTGGTCAGAGTGCCAGCAGAACAGTCAGATTTGTATAGAGACATAATCACTTTGAGCCAGAAGGCCAGAAAGTGGCCAGCGAATGCCACAGAGGTGGAAATTCAGCAATGAATCCAAGACAGTGCTCGCTCAGACAGACTGGTTGGCTCTGCACAACTTGGTGAAATACTGATGCCTGATAAGGCAGACGTGGTGAGGGCCTTGTGGGAGAGCATGTACTATTCGCAGGAGCAAATGGATGACCACAATTTGGTGAGAGTGATGCAGCAGGGAGGGATGAGGGGTTCTGGCCGGTGCTCAACGCTCAGAGGAAAGGCAAGACGGGCATTTATTCAGAATGTTACTGATACAACTGGTACTGGAACTCAATGCTGGCTGCTGAAGATGGGGATGGAGCGCTTATGGGAATCAGCTCATCAACACATCAGTAAGGCATTGGACACACACTCACATATGTTAATTTGTTTCTTTCTGTATTTGTTTGATGCAAACTGCATGGCCGGATCCCTAAAATCATGAACATTTTCTTTTATTTGCAGGCTGTAAGACCTATCGCCCAAGCTGGAGACAGAAATGCAGAATTCTCTCCCCTAGCCTTGTTTGCATTCTTTGTCAATCGCTGCAAGGAAAACCTCCATATTATTATAGCCTTTAGCCCGATTGGAGATGCATTCCGCAACCGGTTACGCCAGTTTCCATCTCTCATCAACTGTTGTACCATAGACTGGTTCCAGGTAAGGAAATGGTTAGCCCAGTAGCATTTTGTGAGACTTTTTCAAAATGTTTACATCTTGTTTAACTATGTTAAAGTTGAATTGTTACCTAGAATAGATAGTGCATTCATTTGCAAAGAAAACAATTTCATGGACTCATAAAAGAATTGAGTCTAAATGGGGGTTGAGTAGCGTTGTGCTAACTTCTTGTACTCAACAATTGCTGTACAGTTGACTGGTTTCTGATAATGTGTTCAAATGTTGAATTTTGAATTAATAATTGACATTACAGCACTCGGGACACCCCCATAAGCGCTGGGTCCCCATCTTCAGCAGCAATTGAAGAGTTAAAATTCAGATGGTACCAATAACTGTCTGATTGTATATCCATCTTGCCTTTTTCCTGAGTGTCAAGCGTTGGCCAGATCCCTTTGTAACTCCTCGCACTGCCATTCTCCTCAGATCGTAATGATCTATCTGTGCCTCGGCTCTGTTCACTCGTTTCCAAAAGGCCCTCACAACATCCAGCTTGTCATATAGAAGTTCACCACCAAGTGGTGCAGAATGGGCCTGTCTATCTTCTGCTCATTTCCCAACACACCGGCATGACTTGGAGAAAATATCCAAAGGATGCTAACTACCTGGGACCTTTGAAGTGATGCTTTCCACTCTGCACGGAGCATGCCTGTCTCCACCTTTCTCAACATACTCTGTGAGTCGAGACAATGAAGACATGTGTGTACAGCTGATTCTTAAGCCAGCGGAAGGCAGCAGTGACTGCTTCCACCTCCATTCTTAAACTGTGTTCATTGTTTGTTTTGTCTTTTCTTTGCTAGTAATCATAGTTTTCTTTTTCTAAACCTGTCTCAGTACCATCCTGTTCACTATAATTTTGTTGCTTACTCTACAGTGTGTCCCATAAGTTTCCATACATAGAAACAAAGAAACATGTCAACAATGCTATTACCAGTGTAACTCCAGCTGCTCCTATACGTGTTCTTCAGCAGTCAAAAACAAACGGTGTTTAAAAAACAATGTTATTTTTTTCAATGCATGCAAACTTATTGGACACACTGTTATACTGTATGCATTAGCTAATCTTGTGTGGCCCAAATGCTTATCCTTTCTACCACAGTGGCTCCAGCTCATCCTCTTCTATATTTCTGATGATATATGTTGACCCCATGTGGGATGCAATTTTGTGTTATTTGAAGCTCCACCCTGGCTTCTGTCGGGAGCCCTGAATATAGCCGGGGCATAAATAAGGACTACCCATTGATATGGCCTAACAGCTGAAAGGGGTTTCTGGGACCTCTCCATGGGTGATCCTCATCTGCATGGTGACACTTTGTGTCACTGAGTGTTTATCGCTTGTGTGCTGTCCTGGTGGGGTACATCTACTTACCTACCTTCTATATTTCTCCAGTTTTTGTTCACCGAGAATCTCAATAAGTTTTGCCCTCAAGTACATCGACTCTGAGTTAGAAAGTTTTGAAGAGACAACCCTTTGGGACTAAAAGAATAAAAAATAACTTATCCGCATATGGAGAGCCACCGTGGTCTAGCTGCTAGACGCTCGCCTACAAATCAGAAGGTCGTGGGTTTAGGTCCTCACAGAGCCGGACTTTAAAAAAAAATGACTTTGGCTCCCAGGTTGACCCAGCCTGGATTGGGTACCAGGTACAGTCCTGGGAAGTAAAGGCGGCTGGCTTGATGTTGACCACATCACCCACCAAGTGCCGATTGGCCTATAATAAATAGGCCTAGCCCTATTTGCCCAATACGCCTGAAAGTGTAGAAAAGGTTCCTTTACTTTACCTAATCCTTATTTGACACATCATGTTCATGAAATCTGGTAATCACAGCTCCAACTTCGTAGAAAACAGGTCAACCCCCAAGTTGTTCTGCTCCTTTGTCAACAAAAACCACACCAGAATGTCCATCACTGACCCTTGTCCAAATATGTACAGTTGTTATACAGACTGCACTTTTAGCTAATCCAGCAACATGCATGAGGATTAAATGTATAACGTAGCCATTGCAAGTGCCATCACAAACAGTCCAGCACTAGAAATGCAGTTCATCATCAATGGAAGCAGCAGGTACCAAAGATTAGTTGTTGTGCACGCAGTTATTTGCATAAGGCACGAACAAATTCTCAACTAGCAACAGGCCAGTGGCCATTTTCTAAATAAGCAATTCACAACACAGACCATGTTGGACACAGTAGAAGAACATTGAAAATTAAATTTGGGCCATGCACTCAATTCAGTAGCTGGGTGACGGAACTATATCCTTTCAGTCTGCACATGGATCAAAATGCAGCCGCTAACTATTGTCAGAACCACAAACTTGCCACAACTGAAAACAGTAAACCCGCCTATCTGCCATATTGACCAAAAGCCAAATCCAATCACACATATCTTTTTTACTAGTTTCATGTGGTTTTGTAACTTCTGCTTTCTGTAATAATAACACAATGTGTCACAAGCATATCTAATGGTAGAGATAGTGTCTGACAAATGATGACTCTTGTCAGATAGTGTCTGACAAATGATGACTCTTGTAAGATAGTGTCTGACAAATGATGACTCTTGTAAGATAGTGTCTGACAAATGATGACTCTTGTAAGATAGTGTCTGACAAATGATGACTCTTGTAAGATAGTGTCTGACAAATGATGACTCTTGTAAGATAGTGTCTGACAAATGATGACTCTTGTAAGATAGTGTCTGACAAATGATGACTCGTGTAAGATAGTGTCTGACAAATGATGACTCTTGTAAGATAGTGTCTGACAAATGATGACTCTTGAAAGATAGTGTCTGACAAATGATGACTCTTGTAAGATAGTATCTGACAATTGAAGACTCTTGTAAGATAGTGTCTGACAAATGATGACTCTTGTAAGATAGTGTCTGACAAATGATGACTCTTGTAAGATAGTGTCTGACAATTGAAGTCTCTTGTAAGATAGTGTCTGACAAATGATGACTCTTGTAAGATAGTGTCTGACAAATGATGACTCTTGTAAGATAGTGTCTGACAAATGATGACCCTTGTAAGATAGTGTCTGACAAATGATGACTCTTGTAAGATAGTGTCTGACAAATGATTACTCTTGTAAGACAGTGTCTGACAAATGATGAATCTTGTAAGATAGTGTCTGACAAATGATGAATCTTGTAAGATATTGTCTGACAAATGATGACTCTTGTAAGATAGTATCTGACAAACGATGACTTTTCCTCATATCCAGGCCTGGCCAGATGATGCCTTGATGAGAGTGGCCAACAAGTTTCTAGAAGAAGCTGACATTGCAGAGAATGATAAATTGGAAGTAGTCAACATTTGTAAACATTTCCACCAGAGTGTCCGAGAACTTTCAGAAAGGTACACATTGTAATTAGTCCACTCAGTTAAAGACAACTTATTATCTTTGTATTTTGTGTGTGTGTGGGTTTTTGTTTGTTTGTTTTGTTTTGTTTTGAAATCTGTCCTAGATGTTCTTATTATTCTTTTATAAAATCATATCTTGACAGCTTCAAAATTTTTCAAATTCTCTCACTAATCTGATGACTGTCCATGATTTACTTCTGTACATCAGGATTGGCTCTATGGAGCTCTTGAGAACTCCTTTTCTCACCTCACTTGACAAGAGTGTATAGCATAGAATTTTTGTCTGTTCAATTAGCTCTCCATGAAAACTGATTACCCACATTAGGGGAAGATATCCCATATTATTTGTGCACATTAGGAGAAGGAAAGAACTGGAGTATTTTGTGACTGCAGAAAAGTTTGAGGGGAAGAGAGACAAGGAGAGACCAGGAAAGGAGATTATAGTTTGGCAACATGGCATGGATGGATGCCGGTATGAAAATGAATCAAATGTTGTGTTGAAACAACAAAATGTGTCAATTGAAACGAGCTGTAAGGTCCTAGTTTGATAGATTTGATCAAACGTTAAGTGGAGATGGAGGCAGAATAGGGGGAACGGAAAGACAATCAACCACCTCCTTTGTTCACTGCATCTTTCACCACTTTTGGTGTCAGGAAAGATGCAAGGGTCTGTTTCTCATACATCCGGTCAGCTTGACCACTAATACTAAATATTGTAGCGCCAGTGTATTTCAGTTCTCAAGACATGGAGCTCACAGTCATCAAGTCTAGTGACTCTAATGACAACAGAGTCTGTAAGTCTCTTAAAAGCCACCTTATCTTCCTGATGGGCTCTAACTCACTTAGGAACCTCAACGTCCAACACAGCTTTATGGCATATTTTATTAGGTATGGCGGTTGCCTGCTAGACCTCCTTCTGGCCAGTATGTATTTCCTGTATTCACACATGTCTCAGAACTTAAACTGGCTAAACATATGGATATTGCTTGGAGAATCAGCAAAGTTATTTTGTGTATTCTTGTTTGTAATTGTAACATCGTATATTCATGTCATATGCTGATGAAGGCTTTCTGGCCTAAATGTTTACTTGTTGTTTATGACTGTGATATTGTGAAGCTTGCTAGTTCTACTTCTCATTTGATTTGACATCTTTTCCAGATATTGTTTTCTGATACTATATTTTGTCCTTGTTCTTGGTCTACCCTAGGTTATCCATTCCTTTCCTCTTTTTGTATAGGCCTATGCTTTATATGGTGTGGTATTACAAGGCATCCAGAGGGGGGAAAGAATGGGCGGGGGGGGGGGGGGGGGGGGGGGGTGGGATTTTTTTTGCTGTCTTTGTATGTAATTCAGTATTGCTTCTATGCTGCCTTTCCCCCTTGCCATTCCCACTGCCTTCCTCCAACATCACACTTTGATAGTTACTAATTTTCATTTCATAAAGAAAGAGAATAAAGAAAAACTAAATCAAGAAAATTATAATGTTTGACTGACGATCAGTCTTGGTGTAGAATGAGGTACACATACATTTTAAAAAATATTTGCAGATTTCTGCGAGAGCTTGGACGTCACAACTATGTCACCCCGACATCCTACCTGGAGCTTATCAATGCATTTAAGAACCTTCTGCACCAGAAACAAGATGAGACCATGAAGGCTAAGCAACGATACCTGGTCGGGCTAGAAAAACTGGCCTTTGCATCGTCACAGGTAGAAAACAGATCCAGTAATGGAAATGTCCCATTTTCACATCTACATTTGAAATTTAATTTTTTTTAATTTTTTAAATAAATATATATATATATGTATTTAAAATATTTTTTTTTTTAAAGTTTCCAGAAACCATGAGTTGTTAACCCTTTTAGCTTACTACTATGGATATTGCAACCCTTCGGCCTTGATTCCATGATAGGTACAGTACATCTGGGAGAAATGTGGCTTTTCTGCCTACCCCCAGGCCTGAACCCGGACCACAAACAGTTCATCACTATGTCACCGTGAAGTCAGGTTTAACCAACTACGCTAGTGAGCTGGGCTTTCAAATATGTAAAGATATATGAAAGGTGTACTCAATTCACATGAAAGAGTGAAGCATTCAATGGAATACATCTCCTGAGGCCTAAAACAGCGCACACACACACTACCACACACACACACACACACACACACACACACACATACACACACACACCCACCCACTCACCCACACACACACACACACCCACCCACACACACTCACACAATGTGTGACTGATGTCATAAAATTTCGACCTCTATCACTGAGGTTTATGAGAAAAACTGAAATCAGCCTTGCTTGAAAAAAAAAGCCACTTATTTCAAGGAACCCCTTCCCAAATGCTATTGTTAGTTAATGTACTCATGTCCTGACCTTCTAAACATTTGCACAGGTGCAAAAGCAGCCAATAGCATTATCTATGTGTTCTCATAAACAGGTCACGGTAGATAAGTCAGAAAAGTTACACCGATACTGACCCAACCGGAAATGTAAGTTTTTCAGTGACTCAAGGTGAAAGGGTTTAGTGTAAGTTGCATTTACTTTTGATTGGCAATTAATATTTATTAATGTTCATATTGTTTATATAGTTGTCATTCATTGTTCAGTGCCTTCTTTATGCAGTTGATATTGATGGGCTGTTTGCAGATTCATTGTATTGACATTGTTCACTTATTTCTAGAATTATTGTTTTGACATTGTTTAGTTCTTTTTATTGTTGCATTAGTTGGTTTATTCCACAGTTAATATGAATTGTATGTTTTATGCCTTTTTGATCTATTTGGTATTTGTGCCTTTTTTCATGGTTTATGTTTTTTGTTTTGTTTTATGTCTTCTCTATGTAGGTGGCAACAATGCAGAAAGAGCTTGAGGAGCTCCAGCCTCAGCTTGTCATCTCTGCTGAAGAGAATGAGAAAATGCTGAAGGTCATCGAGGTCGAGTCTGCTGATGTGGAGAAGACAAGCGAAAAGGTCAAGCAGGATGAGGCTGCAGCCAATGAAAGTGCATCCCAGGCTCAAGCCCTGAAAGATGACTGTGAGGCTCAGTTAGCTGAGGCTCTGCCAGCACTAGAGCTTGCAATAGCTGCACTTAACACTCTCAAGGTTGGTATATTCAACTCTGTATTAGGAAAAGGAATTGCATTAATGTTTGTAATAAGTAAGCAAAGGGCCCTTTTTAGGCTGTAGCCCAGGGCTTTTAAGGCGATGACCCATGGGCAGAATCTGACCCGTCAACCATGGACCATTGCGAATTGTAATTCATTAATGATCTTTCTTTGCTTGGGCTCGGGTCTTGAGTCCAAAATAATCCCTTTTTTCAACATCATGGCCCCTGAGTAAACGTACTGAAACAGCCCTGCCAATGTGGCATTTAGTGTTTAATGCTAGACTTCTGTTTTTTAGGACCAATCGAGACTAGGTGGCTGATGTGGTCAGCTTACGCCAGCTGCCTTTGCTTCTTAGGACTTTGCATGGTCCCATTTTAAGCTTGGTCTACCTAGGGGCCAAGACAGTTTAAGAAAAAATGTACTTTGAGTCAAATGCTAAGATCTATCCACTACACAACTGTGGCACATTTTTGTCATAAAATTTCACTAAATTATGGAGTTTAAATGACAACTGTATAAAATGGGCTAGTATAAATGCAGGACGGGACATACAGAGTTAAGAGATGGTAATCACCCAATAGAAACCAACAGACGTTGAATTTTTGTTTATATGGAAAGAATTAAACCTGTAAAATAATAAAACCGTAAAATTATTATTATATATATTTTTTTTCTTAAAAATGCATTTTGACTATTGATGAATTAGATCATTTATATGGATATGAGACTTATAGACTGATGTATTTGATTGGTTGGTGACTTTGCAGCCTGCAGACGTGACCATAGTGAAGTCCATGAAATCGCCCCCTGCTGGCGTCAGGCTGGTGATGGCTGCTGTGTGCGTCATGAAAGATATCAAGCCAGAGAAAATTAGCAACCCTGACAAACCTGGGCAGAAAGTGAGTAGAATGTTTTATAACTTGGGACCAAAAGATTTGTGGTCATTGATTGAATCTTAAGTACAATGTTCAATGACTTTGGACAATGTTGTAGGATAAAAGAGCAGCGGGCTGAAAAGTTAAAAATGCTGGGTTCTTATGTTGAATGTTGAATTAAGAATCAACATCACAGCACTCGGGACACTCCCATAAGTGCTCAGTCCCCATCTTCAGCAGCAAGCGAAGAGTTCCAACTCCAATGGTACCAGTAACCATCTGATTGTATATCCGTCTCATCCTGCCTCTGAGTGTTGAGCATCTGCCAGATCCCCAGGTAACTACTCGCAGCGCCATTCTCCTTAGACCGTAAAGATCTATCTACGCCTCCAAACTGCTGGGTTCTTATGTGGAAGTTCAGGTTTGAATCTTCTCTAGGGTTGTGGATTGTTTGTTTTTCTCCTAAAATCCAAACCTGCACAGTTTGTGGCAGTTTCACTAGCCACACACCCTGTCCTCAGACTATCAGACTCAAAGACCCCACCACCCCCGCCTACATTGCAAAAGTGATAAATACAGGCAGTAATGACAGTTTTGTGTTGAGGCAGCTGCAGGATTTGAGAGAGTGATGTCCATTTTGGGAAAATGGTGTAGCTTTCTGGAAAGAAAGAAATGTAGAAACTGACAGATATTGATTTGAAAAATTGGATTTCAGAAAGAAATGTTGAATTATTTGTGATGAGTAGGTGTAACCTTTTCTTCTAGAAGATTACCCATAGTGAGCATAGACCACTTGTTGTAATTTTCAGTCCAAGTCTGAAATGATCCATTTGAAGTAACTGTTCATGTAAGGCAGGAATGCTATGAAAGGATGCAGGTTATTTGGGCAGCCATAGATTTTAACCCCCTTTGAGGCAGGTTTAAAGCCTAATCTTGGATAAATTTGGTATTCATATCAGGATCCTTGCCATACCTACATAGTTATTGCCCTTTGCTCTTTGTGTGAGATTATTTAAGGTGAAGAATGGAGCACTTATGACAATATCTGTATGCACTGAAGTTGATCTTTTACAAACCAACCAACAGATCAACAAACAAATACATTCATATGTATGTGCAAACAGGATTATTGTTTTCTGGGTGTACACAATTAGGGATCTTTTCTAACCGTTTATTTTTAAAATCTTGCAGCTTGGATTTTAAATGATTACTGAAATATAAAAGTAACTTTCAAATACACAATTTGTCTACCAATCTATTTTTTAACTGAAAAAGCTCTGTGTATAAATAACTTGGTGATTAAATAGTCCTATGTATAAATATTGCTGTAAATATACTGTTTGTATCGTCAGATGCTGGACTACTGGGGTATAAATAGTCCTGTAAATATACTGTTTGTATCATCAGATGCTGGACTACTGGGGTATAAATAGTCCTGTAAATATACTGTTTGTATCATCAGATGCTGGACTACTGGGGTATAAATAGTCCTGTAAATATACTGTTTGTATCGTCAGATGCTGGACTACTGGGGTATAAATAGTTCTGTAAATATACTGTTTGTATCGTCAGATGCTGGACTACTGGGGTATAAATATCGCTGTAAATATACTGTTTGTATCGTCAGATGCTGGACTACTGGGGTATAAATAGTCCTGTAAATATACTGTTTGTATCGTCAGATGCTGGACTACTGGGGTATAAATAGTCCTGTAAATATACTGTTTGTATCGTCAGATGCTGGACTACTGGGGTATAAATAGTCCTGTAAATATACTGTTTGTATCGTCAGATGCTGGACTACTGGGGTATAAATAGTCCTGTAAATATACTGTTTGTATCGTCAGATGCTAGACTACTGGGGTATAAATAGTTCTGTAAATATACTGTTTGTATCGTCAGATGCTGGACTACTGGGGTATAAATATCGCTGTAAATATACTGTTTGTATCGTCAGATGCTGGACTACTGGGGTATAAATAGTCCTGTAAATATACTGTTTGTATCGTCAGATGCTGGACTACTGGGGTATAAATAGTCCTGTAAATATACTGTTTGTATCGTCAGATGCTGGACTACTGGGGTATAAATAGTCCTGTAAATATACTGTTTGTATCGTCAGATGCTGGACTACTGGGGTATAAATAGTCCTGTAAATATACTGTTTGTATCATCAGATGCTGGACTACTGGGGTATAAATAGTCCTGTAGATATACTGTTTGTATCGTCAGATGCTGGACTACTGGGGTATAAATAGTCCTGTAAATATACTGTTTGTATCGTCAGATGCTGGACTACTGGGGTATAAATAGTCCTGTAAATATACTGTTTGTATCGTCAGATGCTGGACTACTGGGGTATAAATAGTCCTGTAAATATACTGTTTGTATCGTCAGATGCTGGACTACTGGGGTATAAATAGTCCTGTAAATATACTGTTTGTATCGTCAGATGCTGGACTACTGGGGTCCTAGCAAAAGGTTGCTCGGGGACATGAACTTCCTGCAGATGCTGCAGGAATATGACAAGGACAACATCCCTGTTCACATCATGAAGAAAATCAGAGAGGAGTACATCACAAATCCAACTTTCAAACCTGAAATTGTAGCCAATGCTTCATCTGCTGCTGAAGGTTGGTTGGTTTATTTGGTCTCATTTCCGTTTCAGAAGTTACAAACTGTAACATTTTATGAGCAGTGCAGAGGTTAAACAGTAAGTAGGACAGAAGAATCAGATGCAAGATAAATATACTTGATGCGAGATCACAGCAGCTAGGTCTGAAAATCCATAATGGAAGGACAAAGATAATGAGAATAAATCAGGCAAATAGTAATGTGGTTTCTTTTAATGATGTCACACCCCAAGACATGGAGTCATAAACCTATTTGAGCAGCAGTGTAGATAAAGATGCTGGGGAAGAGGGGGAGGGGGGGGGATTTATAGAGATATTAAAATATGATTACAAAAGGCAAAAGAAACTTTCATAGCACTAGGGAATTAGAGGAGGTCAAAAAAAATGTAAATAATATTAAACTTATAATTTTTAATTTTCATGTAAAATCAGTACTGTTGTATGGAGCGGAAACATGGAGAACAACTAAGGCAATTACTAATGGACTACAAACATTCATTACCTGGTGCCTGCACGGAATAGAGGAAGTTAAGAGGTATGATAGAGCTTTGGGAGAGAACAAAACAAACTCCAGTGGACCAAGAGGTGAAGAAAAGATGCTAGCTTTGGATTGGACACATGTTGAGAAAACCTGAGAACATTATAACTAGAATGTCTTTGCACAGGAACTCACAGGGGCATAGAAATAAAAGAAGACCTTCCCCTCACACCCCCTCCCCCTCCCACCCAAAAAAAAAACGCATGGAGAAGGGAGCTAGAGAATGAAGTTAAGAAGATGGGGAGGACAGGGGGAGAGCTGCATGCGATAGCGAAGGATAGAACGACTTGAGGTGAGTTGTGTTCGAAGGTAAGAAAGGCAGAAAAAAAAAAGAAGTTAACATTAAAAGCCTATAATTCAGCCCTTGAAAATAAGTGTAAGTAAAAATTTTAACAATATGCATCTTTTTTGTGGCAACATGTCGATGTGGGTCAGCCCATTTCCAAGTTATTAACTCTTTGAGTCCAAAGAAATGAAAGTTTTGTGGTGGCTTCTTATCATACATTCATTTGCATCCCTACAATTGTATAATGTGCTTATTTACATCTGAAAACATTTGAAAACTTCTGGCCAATCCACTGTATATAATATCTCTTTTAAAGTAAAGCACTCTTTGTTTTATAAGAATATCATGGAAAGATATAAAATAAAAGTAGATCAGCGAGCTTCAAAATATGACAAATACGAACAGAAAGTGAACACTGAGGCTACAGAGCCTTCATCAGAACTTACATAAATCAAACAAAACCACAAAAATCACTTCATTGATTTAATCACTTAATTGAAGAAGCCAATGTTTTTTTTATAAGAGTAATTTCCCTACTCTTCTTGAGCATCTGCTGAAAAACCTACTAGTGTTGATAGTGTTGAAGAATCAAATTGGGGCATTTGAACTTGATGAAACTTTTTTTTTTTTTGTAAAAAAAACAAAACAATCAACAAATAAAAAAAAATATTCATCTCCATAGATCAAAAAAAAAAATATTACTGACATACATTTCCAAAATATTAAGATTACTTGTTTTGGCTGTCCAAAGAATTTTCAGAATTCTCATGTTCAACCACATCTCTGAAGCCTCAGTGGATTTGTGTGTGTGTGTGTGTGGAAGAGGGGAGGTGGGAGGGGGAAAAAAGGGGGGGGGGGGGATGTTCAGGATTCACAGTCAAGAGAAAACCATTATCATGTTTTATCTTTGTAAAACATGATTCTCAACAATCCATTGACCAACAGTTATTATATTTCCACTTATCTTTAGGACTGTGTAAGTGGATTCTTGCTCTTGAAGTCTATGATAGAGTGGCTAAAGTTGTGGCTCCAAAGAAGGAGAAGCTGCGTGAAGCAGAAGCTGATCTTGCCAGGATGATGGAGAATCTCAATGCCAAACGAGCTGAGCTTGCAGCTGTGCAGAAGAAACTAGAGGATCTGAAAAACACATTTCATGAAATGATCGCAAACAAAGAGAGACTGGAATTTCAAGTAAGTCACCGTTATCTTTCCTCACAACACTCCCTGTGGGTTTCTGGGCCACACTTTTATGGGGGGAAAAGGAACAGACTCACTGCTGCCTAACTCTTTCTCTTATTTCACCATCAGCAGCTGCTTGGTTTCATTCTCTGCAGCACCTGCCCAGGGTGATTATTACCTCAATATGCTAGTGCAATTGTTCTGGTGATTATGTCCAGTCAAAACTGATGCCAGTGATCAAAGGTGATTTAAACAAATTATGAATTTCGTTGTTGCTTCTCACTATCCATTTCCCGCTGTTTGCATCTTTGATGGGTCCAAAGATTTGTCGCAAGACTCTGTTTTGGATAAAATTTGATTTATTTATAATGTTTAAATTAAATTACATTGAATAACCAACAAATTTTTTATGTTTTCACAAGTACTTAATTTCAGATATTTATTTGCCATACCTCCAGATTATAGTTTCTTTCAGCACTGAATATTGTTTTCCTTTTTTAAATTTCTAATTTAGGTCGACATGTGCGGGAAAAAGCTGGTCAGAGCAGAGAAGCTAATTGGCGGACTGGGTGGTGAGAAGGAGAGGTGGATAGTTGCAGCCAGTGAGCTGCAGAAGATCTATGATAATCTGATGGGTGATGTCTTGATCTCTGCTGGTGTAATAGCTTACCTGGGCCCTTTCACCAGCTCTTTCCGTGACCTCCAGACCTCAAAGTGGGTCAGCATTTGCCAGGTAAATATTGACATCAGACTAAATTTTGTTTCAACTCTCTATGTTATACATATCATTACCCAAAACAAACCATTTGCGAAACATTGCTTCTGTCATGGACAGCCAAAGAAGCAACTCAGCCCCCTTTCCAAAGTCCCTGTCTCACTTTGCTCTGTGAGTTTCTTGGGGTGGTAAATGTGTGGCAGTTTCCCCTTGCTTTCTAAATCAACCTGGCATTACACTACCTTGTCAGTCTTTAGCAGTCTTTTTAGAGTTGCCATGGTGAGTACCTTACGCTGGAATACTTTTGCTAATAGCAAAAAATCACCTGACAGATGTTAACCTATTCTGGTGGATGCTCGATCCCAAGTGCAGTAATTGTCTTACTGTTGTTTGTTTCCCCACAAGTTTTTCCTTAGAAAATAATGGGGTTAATACTCACCACAGAGTGTGTAAAAAAGTGCGGCCCTCACCACAAAATGTGTTTAAAAAAGTGCAGTACTCATCCCAAAGTGTGCAAAAAGGTGCAGTTCTCACCACAAAATGTGTAAACAAGTGCGGTCCTCACCACAAAGTGTAAAAAAGTGCAGTCCTCACCACAAAGTGTAAAAAAGTGCAGTCCTCACCACAAAATGTGTAAAAAGGTGCGGCACTCACCACAAAATGTGTAAAAAAGTGCAGTCCTCACCACAAAGTGTAAAAAAGGGAGGTCCTCACCACAAAATGTGTAAAAAGGTGCGGCACTCACCACAAAATGTGTAAAAAGGTGCGGTCCTCACCACAAAGTGTGCAAAAAGGTGAGGCACTCACCACAAAATGTGTAAAAAGTGCGGTCCTCACCACAAAGTGTAAAAAGTGCGGCACTCACCACAAAATGTGTAAAAAGGTGTGGCACTCACCATAGATTTTCTATTCCAGCAGCACTGAAAAAAAATTGTGCTTTAGAAAAAAAAGTGCCGGCGTACCATCTGAAGAAAAAAGAACCTTTGTTTCCCATCCTCTTCCACATGTTGGCATAGCCGAGATTTTCTGTTTGACAGTTATGAGATTATGGTGGCATATTTCAATCTGTGCTAAAATTATGCAGTTTAAATAAAACAATCAACTGAAGCGAAAACATATAATTTGTGCCTTATTTCATCTTATCACATCTTGATCCTCGGGTACCTTGCGGTGCTGAGATGAAGTATAATTTACGGGAAAGTGCCCATTTGTGTGTGCTTCGTAAATGAGACACCCAAGGAATCTGTTTTTTCCTCTGTACATAATTTGCAAGTAACAGAAAGTGTATTGGTCGGCACTCATAGAAAGAAGTAGAAAGATAGAAGAACAGAAGCTGTACGATAGACATGGCCATAAGACACCTTCTTTCGGGGGTGCCTAGTTGACCATGTTCTTAGTGCACTTGTATTCATGACGAGGCGCACACGCCGTCTGGAGGTGACAGGTTCAATTCCAGGCACGGTAACTATAACTTTTGATTTTTATGTTGTCTAGTGTGTTCTTCTATCTTTCTACTTCTTTCTATGAGTGCCGACCAATACACTTTCTGTTACTTGATTAATTCATAATATTTAACAGCCTCAAAGGTTCCCCCTCTGTTTATTTATAATTTGCAAGGAGTGCCTTTTCTTCGCTTCCTGCCTTGTCTGTACATTGTTCCTTGCTGTGGTATACTGTCTGCTGACATCCGCGTTATATGGCCAAACCATTTCACTTGTTGTCCTCTAATTAACTTTAGAGCTGCCGCTACCCCCATTCTCTTTCGGATTTCATTATTTCTAATCTCATCGTTTATTATTATATTAAGAACCCTTCTTAGGAATCTCATTTCAGTTGTAATGTTTTTTCTATTTTCTGTCATTGCTCGGGTCTGGCATAGACAGAATAGCGTTGGCAAGAAGAGTGTGTCATATAATGCTCTTTTGGTTTCTACTGACACTTGTTTGACACATATATTTTGTGAAAATTATAAATAATAAACTAAAGGCATTATTCTCCAAGTTTATATTTGACAGTTTAATGAGGGCGGATCCTGACATTTTTTTCAAGGAACGATCTAAAAACAAAAAGCTTCTTTCAAGATGGTGACATAAACAGTGTGTGAATTTTTAGAGTATGTGTTTTTCCCTGTTCTGAATGTGATTAAAATGTGAAAACCAGAGTTCATTTAAGGATCAACCTGCAACTGGTCCAGCAAACAGGCAGCAGATTTAAATGTTAACGAAATTGGAAAATCCATCAGACGAATAACCTGCAATGCCTAGCGACATAAGGATGGATATAAATCTTTCAAATGAGTAACCTGCAATGCCTAGCGACATAAGGATGGATATAAATCTTTCAAATGAGTAACCTGCAATGCCTAGCGACATAAGGATGGATATAAATCTTTCAAATGAGTAACCTGCAATGCCTAGCGACATAAGGATGGATATAAATCTTTCAAATGAGTAACCTGCAATGCCTAGCGACATAAGGATGGATATAAATCTTTCAAATGAGTAACCTGCAATGCCTAGCGACATAAGGATGGATATAAATCTTTCAAATGAGTAACCTGCAATGCCTAGCGACAGAAAGCGGAATATAGACAAAAGAAAAGTATCTCAAATTACTTAAACATGGATTCTTTGCATGCGTTGTGTTTTTTTTTTTTTAATGCACCTCAGAGGTATTGCAGAGATATAATGGTTAGTGGCTGGGTTACTTGGACAAAAGACTGAATTAGTTCCAGGTCAAATGAATGTTTCTTTCCTTCTGGTATGATTCTGGGCTCAGTTGACCCTCAGTATATCAGTCGGATAATGTTTGGATTGTTATGGGAATGGTCTTCTTGGAAGGGCAGAAGGGAACCAGGGAACACTGGTCATCACGTATAATTATGGTCTCAAATATGTGAAGGACTAACAAGGTTAAGGTCATCCGCACTTCAGGGATAGTATTCACTTGAAATTCATCTTTTGAAAATCTTTTCTCCCTTAGTGTTTCTAAAATCTATTTTGATTGCAGTCCAAGAAAATTCCATGTTCAACTGAGTTCTCACTGAGCAAAACATTGGGAGAACCAATCAAAATTCAAGCCTGGAACATTGCTGGTCTCCCCAGGGATAACTTTTCTATTGACAACGGGGTAATTGTTGCCAACTCGAGAAGATGGTAAGTGTTAGTCATGGCTGAGGTTTGAATGATTAATGCATTGTTTGATTACGACAGTATAAAGCTGAAGGAGTAAAGATATGTTAACGTAACAACTATGTGCTGAGAAAGATGAAGACTGGCATGCTTCGTGCAGAGTGGCAAGCTTCATTGGGAAGGTCATGGGTAGTGAGCATACTCTGGATCTTTTCTACAGGTCATGCTGGCATAGTGGGTAATGAACAGTTAGACAGATTGGCTGGATCTGCACCACTGGGTGGTGAATTGATACATAGCAAGGCAGACGTTGTCAAGGCCCTTTGAGAACAAGCAACGGAATAAGTAGAGAAACAAGATTATTATGGCCTGGAGAGATTGAGGCACCTGGGTGTAACAAGAGGGTCTGGCCCGCTCACTACACTCAGAGGTAAGGCAAGACGGACATATAACCAGATTGTGACATGTACCATTAGTATTGGAGCTCTGCCCTGGCTGCTGAAGATGTGGACGGAGCACTGCATGGGAATGCCCCAAGTGCTGTGATGTCAATTCTCGACTCAACTCAACTGAACTATGTGTGATATAAGGGAAGCAAATGCTATTGATAAACCCACCCAGACTGCATAACTATTTTGTGGCGCCCCAGTATAACTATACTATATGACTATACAGTTGAACCGAGTTTCTGGAAATTATACCTGTTTGATTCTCATCTTTGTGATGTTAATCCTGAAGACTGCAAAGAGAGAAATGTGCACTGTCTTTCAACTACCCATGAATGCATGAGGAGTTGCTTGGTTCCCAAAGAGTTAAAACCACTTATGACAGATCCCGAAATGCTAAATCTGGTGAAAATACTAGGACACTGTATCCACATTTTTTCCACACTGATTGTTTCAGGCCCCCAATGACACACCCCTAAGTCCTATCTCTCTTGGAAATGCTTGAACAAAAGATTTATATTTGTCTGTGTGTGTTGATTTCAGGCCGCTGATGATTGACCCTCAAGGCCAAGCAAATCGTTGGGTGAAGAACTCTGAAAAAGACAGCAATCTGTCGGTTATTAAGTTGTCAGATTCTGACTACATGCGCACTCTAGAGAACTGTGTCTCTTTTGGTAATCCCCTACTTTTGGAGAATGTTGGAGAGGAGCTAGACCCTTCACTTGAGCCGCTACTTCTTAAGCAGACTTTCAAGCAAGGTAGGAAATTGGGGGAAACGGAAGAATAAAAGGGGCATTTTCTTAAAGCAGTTGTAATTGCAACAAACATAAGAATAGAGATAGAGACGGCCACTGTTGTTTTAGAGAACAGCTTAAACTTTCTATGCCAAACAATGCATCATGTATGGTTAGATAATGCCAGTGTCTCCATGTGGGTTTTGAGGGCCTCTGTGTGAAGAAAGAACAAGAAAAGACACACTGCACTTTCCCCTAAAAGCATGTCATAAAAGTTAACTAATTAGGAGTATTTCCTTCAGAGTCAGACTGCGTCTGCCTGAAAGGCAAAGACCCAACAGTTTGAGTACAAAAAAAGCCAGATCCGTAAAACGGATTTGTGTGCAAAACTCAAGTTTTGGAACACAACTAAAGTCCAGAAGTAGGCAAACAACCATAAGTTTTCCCATTAGTTTACTGCCGGCGAATGCTAAGAAGAAGAAGAAGAAGATAGTGTCGATGTGTGATGGGAAACACATGATGTATTATTATTATTATTATTATTATATCTTTTACATTTTACATAACATCTTGGAAAATCTGTTTAGATATTTGTAAATAGATTTAGCTCTTTGCAAAATAGGTTTTAATTAAGCAGTAATAACCTCATTTTTAAAATCCCAAGCAACTTGCATTTTCTTAATCTACAGTTCAAAACACAAACCATATTAGACACCGTCGAGAAGCATTCTAAATGATATCCAGTTTACAACACCTGGCATTTTGTAAGCCTGTGGGTTCCAATACAAGGATATTCTAATGATACTATTATCAGATTTTCTTATGTATGTCATCTTCAAAGCCAGTGATTTTCCCTCACCTCTTGATCTGAGCATTGCACGCTTTATTTTGTAGCTGGCATTGAGATGATTCGTCTGGGTGAAAACATAATGGAGTACAGTCTGGACTTCCGTTTCTACATCACCACCAAATTAAGGAACCCTCATTACCTGCCGGAACTGTCAACGAAGGTGTCACTGCTGAATTTCATGATCACCCCAGAAGGTTTGGAAGATCAGCTCCTTGGAATTGTAGTGGCCAAAGAAAGGTTTATCATTTTATGTATATTTATAATGTTTCTCTTTGCTTTTATGTTTGTTTGTCTAGAACAGAGCTTTTTTTTTTCTGGCAGTACAGTACTCGGTACCTGCAGCATTTGCTAGGTATCATTTTTTTTCAACATTATTGTAATAGACACTTTGTAGTGAGTATTGACACCTTTGTCTAGAAAAAAAGACCTGGCTTATGGTATTCTGTTTTGACAACCTAGCTCCGTGATTTAGTTTCATTCAGACATTTAGATTACTTAATTATTGCGGCTTTTCAGTTTTCTAGTTAAATATTCTTGTTTTATATAACGAATGAGAAATGATGTGATCACAAGAACTGTTGAAACAATACCCATTATCAAATTTATTGAGAAACATAAAATAAAACGATCTGGTTATCTAATGAGAATGAAACCAACGATGCCAGCAGCAAGTAAATAAAACCTGAAAATCTAAACACTAAGAGTCAGAGGAGACCGAGAAGAAGATGGACTGAAGGAGTCACTGACACTATGAGACTGCATACATAACGGCATATGAGGTGACCGAGCTTGCCCTGGCTCAGTTGCCAATCATCTGATGAGCTGCGACGCCCAGCAGCATAAGCAGATATTGACAAAAGAAGAAGTTAACTATTCTTGTTTTATATTTTTCATTTGAGGATAAAGACCGATGGTTAAAAACATTTGCTTGTACCTGTATTATAAAAAGCACTGTAGTCATAAAGGCAAACATATGCTCAAAACCAGGCAGCTTAAAGAAGAGTTAAACCATGCTTTATAAGAGAGGGCTCCAGATGAATACCTTGTCTTGTAACCTATCAGTATCATTGTTAACTCTTTGAGTCTCAATGAATGCATCATACGTTCATATGTTCCTACCCAGAAGCCCAATGAACTCATGATGCACCGATTTTATGTCTTTTTTACCACCACTTGGGCTTGTCATGGTAAACCCTTTTGGACTCAAAAGAGTTGAAAATGTCACAAATCTTAGACAATGACAACTTATTCTAGAATTTAAACAACAATGCACTGATGCTTATCAAGAACTGTTGCAGTGCTTTGAAGCAGAAAATTATGGTTTCCTATCACGCGCTTTTACTGGAGATGAAATCTGAGTTCATCACTCCTTCACTGATTTAAGAAAATGATAACAGAGTGCTGCTTCTCTCTGATGCGTGTCAAAAAGTGGGGCAGCCATCTTTAAACTACCCTTATGAGGTCACTATTTTTGTTTGCACTGTTATGTCAAGTGCTTAACTCTTTTGACATCCATATCAACAATATTGTTAGGTTACAAGACGACAGCATGGTTTTTGTTAATTTCTGTCACAATTCCAAGGTATTCATTTGAAGCCTCCTCATACAATAGAAATGGTAATCAAAACGCTGTTTGGCAGTTTTTTATTTCGGTTTACAGAATAATTAAGTGGACTTACCAAGCTTTAAGCATGCTCCAAATTTCAGGCCAGAACTGGAGGAAGAGCGACAAGCTCTCATCATCACTAGCGCTGCCAACAGACGGCAACTCAAAGAAATTGAGGACAACATTCTGCACACTCTGTCCTCCTCTGAAGGCAATATTCTGGAGGATGAGGCCGCCATCCAGATCCTGGACTCCTCAAAGATTGTGTCTGATGATATCACAAAGAAGCAGAAGGTATCATGTCATTAGACTTCTTACTTTGGTTTGACTCATTCAGTACCAAACAGATTGCTATGTGTTTGTTATGTTCTATTTCTGTTACATATTTGGCTTAATTCTCCATATCACGACCGGTTGTTGCGCTAATAAACGCTGCTTGATGTGTTACTTTAAGTCGTTCTCTTTCAATGTGCTATCCTGGACTCCTCAAAGATTGTGTCTGATTATATCACAAAGAAGCAGGAGGTAAAATGTCATCAGACTTCTCATTTTGGTTTATCTCATTCGATGCCAAGCAGAACGCTACATGTTTGTTTGGTTCTTTTTCTGTTATATATTTGGCTTAATTCTCCATACTTCAACAGGTTGTTATTCTAATCCACTCTGCTTCATGTTAATTTAAGTCCTTCACTTTCAATGTGCCATTCGGTTAAGTCTACTTCTTCTTCTTTCCTTTCTTAAAGTCCATGCCATGTGGCATTGGCAGTCATGTCAACCCACAACCTTCTGTCTCGATTACTTTCAGTCAAACCTGATACTGATGATCCTCCATGCCATGATGTCAGACTGTCCAGAATCTCTTCTCTCTGTCTCCATCTGCCACTTCTTCCCTTCAACTTTCTCACTGTCTCGATGTACTCCAGTTGTCTCCTTCTCATCACATGAGCAAAGAATGTAGATTGTCTCTTTCTGATGTGGGCACTCAGTTAACTTCATGAGACAATTTCTTTCATGTCATCTTCATTCTTTTTTATCTGTCAATTAAGTCATTCTAGTCCAAACATGTATTACTTATAGCAAAAATTGTCTTGGAGAGATTGGGTTTAATTATATCTGAATCGTACTAACAAAGGCAGCTGCCGTGATGTAGCGGCTAAAGGCTCCCCTGCATACTGGAAGGTCGTGGGTCCGTGTCCTGTTTGAGCTGGACTTTTTTTTCAAAAATGAACTTAGCTTCCAGGCTGACACAGTCTGGAATGAGTGCCAGGTAAAAGTCGTGGGAAGTAAAGGTGATCGGTGTGATGCTGACCACATCACTGACCAAGTGCCGATCAGTCTATAAATATATAGATCTAGTCCTTTATGCCTAATATGCCTGAAAGTGTGGAAAGGTTGTTTTTGTATTTTTTAAACTTTTGCTAGTACTTCTTCTTCTCTTTTACTTTGTACCTCATTGAAATGTCAGGGGAAGGTGTAACATTCGTTGATGAGTGCTCTGTCAAGAGAACTCTAATGACTGATGTTCATTTCTGTAAGGCTGTTCTTAATGCCATCACTCCATGTTTTCCTAGATCTTCTTCTTTGCTTTATACCTGTTGTAATGTTTCAGTGTGGCTCGCTGTGTACTGCTTATACTGACAGAATTAAATTGTGTAGTGTAAATCTTCTTGTTAGTGGGTGTTTGTACTTATGTGTACATATGCCAGCATGCAGGTGTTCTTGTATGGTTGGCAATGTGTGGATAAGTGTTGGGGTGTGAGCCCAAGAGTTTGAGTGTGTTTATGGGGGTAGATAAGTAAGAATAGTAAAGGACCTTTTTCCACACCATGAGGTGTATTGGGCAAATAGGGCTAGAATATATTTTATAGAGCAATCGGTATTCGGTGGATGATGTGGTCAACATCACGCTGGTGAGTGTAGATGATTGTATGTGTGTGTGTGTGTGTATATATATATACATGTAGTTTATGTGAAAGTATTGTGTATTGGTAGGAGTGTGTATTTGAATATATCTGTGATATGTAGGTGTGGACATGTGTGTGGGTGTGGACATGTGTGTGGGTGTGGACATGTGTGTGGGTGTGGACATGTGTGTGGGTGTGGACATGTGTGTGGGTGTGGACATGTGTGTGGGTGTGGACATGTGTGTGGATGTGGACATGTGTGTGGGTGTGGGCATGTGTGTGGGTGTGGGCATGTGTGTGGGTGTGGGCATGTGTGTGGGTGTGGACATGTGTGTGGGTGTGGACATGTGTGTGGGTGTGGTCATGTGTGTGGATGTGGACATGTGTGTGGGTGTGGGCATGTGTGTGGGTGTGGGCATGTGTGTGGGTGTGGACATGTGTGTGGATGTGGACATGTGTGTGGGTGTGGACATGTGTGTGGGTGTGGGCATGTGTGTGGGTGTGGACATGTGTATGGGTGTGGACATGTGTGTGGGTGTGGACATGTGTATGGGTGTGGACATGTGTGTGGGTGTGGTCATGTGTGTGGATGTGGACATGTGTGTGGGTGTGGACATGTGTGTGTGTGTGGTCATGGATGCATGGCTAGCTGCTCCTATGCTAGCCCAAAGCTTTATTGGATTCTACGCCAAGACTGACTTTGGCTCCCTGTTCAACCCAGCCTCAATTTGGTACCAGTCAGTGACATGGGAAGTAAAGGTGGCTGATGTGATGTTGACTACATCACCCATCAAGTGCTGAATGGTGTATAAAAGTATGGTTTTAACGTCATATGCCCGATGCACCACTGGTTCAAACTGTAGTCTTTACTGGTTACTTTAATTTTTTTTTTTTATTAACAATAAGCCTGATGTATCATTGGCGTGAAGATAGTCTTTTTTGGAGGGACAAAAAACAGTTCGATATAACTTGTTTTAGAACTTTAAAATGTACATTTTAAAGGAAGTTGCCATGGCAGAGCAACTAGACGCTCGCCACGGATCAGAAGGTCATGTGTTCGCTCCCTGGAAAAGCCAGACTTTAAAAAAAAAATGACATTGGTTCCCTTGAGTGGGTACCGGGTGCAGTCCGGGGAAGTAAAGGTGGCCCGTGTGATGCTGACCACACTACCCATCTTGTGCTGACTGGTCTATAAAATATTGGTCATGCCCTATATGCCCTATACGCCTAAAGGCGTGGAAAAGGGTCCTTTACTTCACTTATTTTTTTTTTTTTTTTACACGTATATTTTTAAAAACTCAGGGGGACAAAATCTCACACTAAACATTGTAAAGCTTTCCTGTTTCTCACCTGAAAGATGTTCTTTTATTGGTTATTAGGTTGCTGAAGAAACTGAGAAGAAGATTGAGGCTTCTCGTGTTGGATATCGACCAATAGCAAAGCATTCATCCATTCTGTTCTTCTCCATAACCGACCTGCCCAACATTGACCCCATGTACCAGTACTCGCTGACCTGGTTTGTTAACCTCTTCATTATGAGCATACAAGACAGGTATGTTGGTGTATAATTTATATTTATAATGGGGGCTGCGAGGGCCACATGGGGGGGGGGGGAGGGGGGGGGGAGGGGTAGGACTAGGTTCTCTGCCCCTTAACTCTTTTACTCCCAGAGAGTTGTTAATTCAGCTCCTTCTATCTGAAGAATTTGTTGCTTTAATGCTTAAAGTAATTAAAAAAATAATTACCTTGAACTGAAAGAGTTAATGTAATGACAAGTAAAAGGGAGAGTTGATGTAACAAGTGCATGGGACACACACTTGTAGAAGAGCACTACATGTAAGGAGTCACAAGTGCACAGTGCATTGCCTGGTAGCGAATGAGTTAACAAACATGTCATTGTTGTTGGCGCCTTTGTGTCCTTTCAGGCAGTAGGGTTCCATTGTGCTAAAGGCAGGCATGAGAATCACACCTCATTCTGAGACCAGTTAAGGCTAGGAATGAAGTTCCTCTCCATATTGATACTCTATCTGTTAACTTCATATCAGTCTCCTGACTAAATTGTCTAATTGGATACAGGAAATAGTTGGTGGGTTTAGTTTAAAGTTTACACTTTGAACAATGGATCAACATCATGGCACACGGGTAGTAACCCATAAGTGCTCAGTTCTTCTTTTAACTCAAGTCTGAGTCCGAAGAAGCTCAGCACAGTGCACAGGCATCACTTTGGGTAGATTTTTAACTCCAAATTTTGCTTGGTCAGCACAGTTAGGCTACTTTTTTCTATTTCCAGCTGCTAAAAGATTTTTTATGTGCACAACAATGCACACGGGTGTCCGATAACACTACCCAGAGACCAGGGGGAATTACTAGAAGTACCAGTCCATGTAAAAAATCCCAGCCCTTACCAGGGATTGAACCCAGAGCCTCTAGCACTTGAGGTGTACACCATGCCTCGAGGCCACACTGCCCCCTTTAGGTGGGTTTAATCATTTGAAAAAGTTGGCAGAGCAGTATTGAGTTAAGCCTGCCTTTTTTAATGTCTTGGAGAAAAGGTTCATAATGAGTGAACAATTTGTTCAGTGTTTAAATAGAAATGGTTGTTTTTTTGATTCATGTTCATGTTTATAACATTGTATTTGCCATGTGTTCACAGTAATAAGTCAAAGATTATTGAACGTCGTCTACGCTATCTGAGCGACCACTTCACACTTCAGCTGTATGACAATGTGGCCAGATCCCTTCTGTCCAAGCACAGACTTGTGTTTTCTTTCCTTCTGTGTGCCAATTTGCAGTTGTAAGTGTGCATCCGTTACCACTAACATTGTATATTTCAACTCTAACTCACTAACTGCCAGATTTTAAAACCTCTAACTCATTAACTGCCAGATTTTAAAACCTCTAATTCATTAACTACCAGATTTTAAGATGTGCTGGGCCAGAATTAATTTGTATACATTTTTGATACAGAGATAATTTGTCAGTTTACATATTTTCTGTGACATTTGGATTACATGTGGAGGTAGTAGAGTCCACTTGAATTTTTATTTCAACTGAAGAATGACAGTCAAAGGTAGTTAATGAGTTAGTTATGATTTTCTTCTGTGAGTTAATTTTGATAATCATGACTAGTCATATTGAAACTTCACCAGGTGCATGTGTGAAATCTGCCATCATTTCCATGCAAATAGGGGCCTAATGATTTTGCTGATTTCTCCATGCACAGCCAAGAAAAACAAAACATGGGTGCTAAATTTATTTTTTTTTCCATTTTTTTTTTCATCTCATCATAATTTACATCTGCAGCAACAGGTCTAGAATTGTGGAGAAGAGGCTTCGGTACATATCTGACCACTTTACCTACAACCTCTACTGCAACATCTGTCGGTCACTCTTTGAGAAAGATAAACTGGTGTATTCGTTTGTTCTTTGCTCTGTGATTCTACTGTAAGTATGGTGTGTGCTTGCATCACTGATTCTGTAAGTGTTCTGATGAGGTTAACAAGACCGCATTGTTCACAAAAAGTCTTATTTTAGGTCACCATCACTGCCTTAGTAAATGTAAGCAATAGTTCTAAATAATATATTCTCTTACACTTTGTGGGTTCCGAGGCCCCGTTTTAAAGGATAAGAAAAGAATAGAGCCACTGCTCCCTAACACGCATGTCGTAGAAGGTGACAAAATTAGGGTTTTGTTGACAATCAAATGTGTTGGGTCTGTATGCGTGGGGAGAATATATCGCAGCCTAACTCCAGGGGGATTTTGTAATTGCTGTTGTCAGTCCAATCTAAACTTAAATACCTAGGAAAAGAAACATGTAGTAAAACCTCAAAGGTTAAAATAAAATCCATTATGTTTTTAAATGGATTTACGAGATGCGCTGGGTTTAACCGACATTTTTATAAACCAAACTGGCACTCAGTTGATGATATGGTCAATATTACCTGGTCACTTTTTATATCGCGTAACTATTCCTGTTACCAGTTTTAGGCTGGGTCATTCTAGGAAGCTGGGTATAGGTGTTTTGCATCTCTGCCTTAAATATATGACCTATACGCTGCATTGAGAGTACAAAGTGTAAATGAAATCTTTATAATCAAACAACATTAAATTAGCAGTTCAAAGGCTACAGTGAGAATACAAAGTGTAAATAAAATCTTTATAATCAAAGTACGCTAAATTAGCAGTTCAAAGGCTACAATGAGAATACAAAATGTAAATAAAAGCTTTATGATCACACTATATTAAATTAGCAGTTCAAAGGCTACAATGAGAATACAAAATGTAAATAAAAGCTTTATGATCACACTATATTAAATTAGCAGTTCAAAGGTTAGAGTGAGAATACAAGGTCTAAATGAGATCTTTATAATCGCAGTATTTTAATCAATGTTCAGTTAATAGTTCAAATGCTACTGTGAGAATACAAAGCACAAATTAAATCTTTATAGTTATATTTTACATAAAGTTAAATTAGCTGTTCATGCATAATTAAAATGTTAAAAATTGACATTATTAAACTCGGTTTAAAGTAGTGAACTGAATACCATTTGTAAAATTACATAAATAAACTAGTATATATACTTTTTTTTTCCAAGTATTAAATTTATTTTCCTTAAATATGCAGTCCTCTGCTCCATTCCGAACCTCAGAACATATTTGTGAGTCACCTGGATTACACTGGCTTATTGTATGAACTGTCTGACTCTTCACCTGCACTTTTAAAACGTTTATTGCATGTTTTTATGTTTAGGCAGCTGCAGATACGTCACTTATAAAGCATGCTGGTTTTTGCTACTTATTAAACAGAGTTTAGATTGTGTGTGTTTGCTTGCACTTCATCCTGGTGTTTTTTAAGGAAATTTTTATGTCCCTGTTATACATTAGGTCAATTTGCAATGTTATTTATGAAATATTTTAAAACATTCAGTCACCTTGCACTAAAAATGTATGATACAAAATTATTGTTCACATCATTCTTGTATATTATTAGTTTCACAGATTACACAAGTTGATTGTTTGCTTTAATGTAGGTGCAGTTATTTATATAAATGTTGGTTCAGAAAATTAATGCAGTTCTTTTTTCTCAGTTGAGATGAGAAAGAGTGTTCTCAGGAGATATATAAATCCTGTCCTAATAAACAGAAGTGAATCATGGACAGTTTGTCAATTAGGGAAATATTTGATTTGGAAGTGGCAGAGATGTGGTTTTATAGACAGTTGATGAGAATATTCTAGACAGATAAAAATAGTTACAAAGATGTCTTTAAAAAAATAAAATTGACTCACTATGAGTACTCATTGTCCACATAAGAACGAGACAATCCACATTCTCCTGTCATGTCATAAGAAAAGGAAAAATGGAATGCATTGTAATGGTGGGGAAAATTGAAGGGAAAAAGAGGCAGAGGGAGACAAATGAACAAGGGAATGGTTGAACTTGATTTTCAGAAGGTCAGAAATTGGATACACAAGCCCACCTTGCTTTTGGCTCTTTCAAACACTCATCTTTCACACCTAAGAAAGAAAATGCTGGACAGTTTGACATCATGGTATGGAAGATCATCTGTGTCAGAAATGATTAAAAATACATGGGACAAAAGGTTGTGGATGACTACCAATGCTACATGGAGCACACGCAAAAAAACACAAAATTATACATTGATCAATTGAGTGTTTGTGATTCATTGGCAGATAAAAGACAGAAGAAAAAGCTGACAGAACTAGTAAAGACTTATTTGTACAGTATTTTAAAGATAAATGGAATCCACAAGAAGATTGATTGTAGTAGTTTTCTGTTGCACAGTGTATGTTTGAGTTTATTATTTATATCAATTGAATGACTGAATGTTGCTGTACAAATGAATACTATTAACTTTTCTTAACACATTATAATTGTATACTTTGTTAATCAGAATATTACCTTATGCTGTCATAAACAAACTTATTAATTCATACTTCGATTTTAATTTTTAAAATAATAAATTAATTAATTTATAACAGATACTATGGGAAGAAATTAATCCTTGACTTTGGTAGCATTTACTAGTAATATAATGTTATAAATATTTTGAAGTCTTATGTTACTATTTTTTCTTTCTGTTCTTTTTTCTTAAATAAAAATTACCGAATTTTTTTTTTTTTTAGAGCAAATGTTTATATTGATAATTTTTCTTTAGATAATAATATAATAGCTTTATAATTTTTTCTCCCTGATTTAGATTCCAGAGCTCCGTTTTGGGGGAAAACAAGAACAGATCCACTGCCCCTTAACAAGCATGCTGTAAAAGTGATTAATTTTGGGTGTTTCCTTTAAAGTCAAAGTGTATCTGTCTGAGAAGCTAGGAACTAACAGTCTGCATACAAATAAGTCAGATCTGTAAAATGGATGTGCATGCAGAACTCAAGTTCTGGATCCACATCAACATTCAGCAGTGAACCAACAACCAGAGCTTTTCTCCAGTTTACAGACGGTAAATGCTAAGAAGAAGATGAAGTTAAATTTTGTTTAACTCTTTGAGTCCTAAACAATGCATGATGTGTGATTACTCTTTGTGCTGAATCCTCTCCCTAGCTTAATATCTTATCTTACTTTTTTTTTTTGGGTACTGGTCAGAACACACTCAAGAAATCTGGCTTGTCCAGTAATGGCTACTACTATTATTTTACTGTTGTCAAAGTAATGTACTGCCGAATTTTAATCAGAGATATTTCTTTATTGGTACTAAAACCTCATTTTGGCACTAAAAGAGTTATTAGTTAGTCGACAGTTTATCCCCATTGCACATCGAACCATTCAGTGCCTAAGTGCTCGATCCGCACCTCAGTAAATCCCACAGCATGTGGCGGCTGCCAACATCAGTTCTGTGTTGATTTCATATTCTTTTTTGGCCTCCTGAATAGTGCTCCTGTCTGGCCAAATCTCTTTTAACATGTTCTTGCAGTTTGGTCATGGTTGCAGATTCACATTCTTCACCAAATGTTTTACTTCTTGTAGAGCATTCAGAATATCTGCCTGGTCGATGGCTCGTCTGCTTTCCACAGTAGCTTCATTTTCAAGCCAATCAGTTTGCTAATTTCTGTGCACACCAGTGTGCCCTGGCACTAATATGAAACTGATATGTGTCAGCCCCCTCAGCTTTTGAGACTCCAACCACTGTCTTTAGACCCAGCCCATCTCTATCATTTTGAGGATACTGATTAAGTTAATAAACTCCAACTATTTCTGTATAAAACAGTGCACCATATGGGACTGGATATAGTTAACTAAGTGCCCTCTCCACATTAAAGATTTGCTTTTGTGTAAGAGAAAGATACAGGCCCAGAGGTGCTTGGAGGCAAACTTTAGAGGCTGAACTCAAGGCTACATGAAGGACAAAACTGGAGATAAAGAGGATGGCTCAGTATCAAATTGAGTGGCGACTGTTTGTCTCTGTTTTATGTGCCTCTGGGTGCAATTAGGATTGATTGATAGTGTACCCATTGCTGTCTTTGAGAATATTATGGGTTGAAGCGTAAATCTTTTTCATGTTGTGAAAAGCTGAATGACAGTTTAATTTATTTCATGTGCCAGAGTGTAACAGTAAGAAATTATAAATGGTATAGGAGGAAAATAGCAGCAAAGAAGCATTATTATAATTCTCATGTGGTCTGTATTCAGTCTGCATAGGCCAGACTGAGTATCCATGGTATGACAGTGGGTCAACCCAGGGTTGAACTAATCAGTTTAAAAAAAAAAAGTCCAACCAGTATTGTGTATATGTATTTAACTCTTTTCTTTTGCTCAAATAAGGTTTTATACAAAAATCTCTTACCTTTGCTGTGTTGTAGGAATGAAAATCGATTGAAAGATACCATTGTGGCTGCCAGATTTATTTAGTGTACACTGACCAAAACTTAAAAGAACACACTTGATGTGATGTTTGAGACATGTGGCTAATAACCAGTAACACACCATGTCTTGTTTGGGACTGACATAGTTAATGACAGACATGTATCATAGAATTATCTTTTCCCATTGTGTATGTGAGTTCAAGGACAAACTTCTATCCCAGATATCTTTTCCTGTTGTAGAGCTCGAAAGGATTTGAATCAAGAAGAATACATGTTTTTTCTCACTGGAGGCGTTGGTTTGGAGAACAAGCTGGCAAATCCCGCACCCAGCTGGCTTGTGGACAAATCCTGGGATGAAATCTGCCGCATGAGTGAACTGAAAAACTTCAGTGGTTTTAGGTAGGTATAACTCCTCAGAAGCTTGTATTTTCATGGACTCTGTGTTTAGCTGGAATATGCTCAGTGACTCATTTCTCCAGGCATCGATTAGTTCTGCCCACATAAGCAGCTTCATCACAACTGCACTTAAATTGATGGCCACAGTTTGATCTGGCGTACCTCGACACTGGTTGTTTCACTGAGGGCATTGGCACAAGGGTCGTTTTATACCTGATAACAGGCAAAGCAGCGTAGAAAGTTTGACTGACAGCTGTTTTGAGCCAGTCATATAGACGTTTCATAACATCATCTCCTCGAAAGGTTAGATGGATGTCGACTTGTTGTTCGGGTACTGATGTTTCTGTGGTAGCTGGTTTAGGAAGCTGGCAGTGGCACTGAATAAATCCAGGTGGATATCCATTAGATAATAATGTTTGCTTAAGAGGTTCTTCTTCTTCTTCTTCTCTTGCCTTTCTATCTCCCAATGGAGCATAGGCGCTCAACCAACTCACGCCAAGTCGTTCTATATAACTGGAGCAAACCTTTCTAACATGATTAAATAATGTTTGCACTAGGCCACTTTTATACTGTATGGGTGCGAAAACTGTAAAAATTCCTGTACTGGCCCATCCAAATGTCATCTTCCCTTCATCTGATCAGTCCAGCAAAATATGCCAGGTTAAAAATTGTGCAGCCTATTGTTTATGTCTTTTTTCTTCTTCAAATTTACAATGGACAAACACTGCTTTGAAAAGAAACAATCACAAAATAATTGGCAGTTAAGTGTCCATATACCAATGTGATGATTGGCACTGTTTTGTCTTGATGATATCTGCCATTTTGTTTATCTGATGTTGGACAAAGCACAGCAGAGACCATTCTCCACATCAGATTGGCAGCACTGATTTGTTATAACTGAACATTCAGGTTATTACAAGTACAGTTGAACTCAGTTTAAAAATTGTTGGACGCCACTTGAAACTTCATCATTGTTCCCCCCCCCCCCCTCCCCTCCCCTCCCCACCCTAGGCTGGAGACCATTGATTTATGGCAGTGTTTCCTAAACTGTTCTTGGTCGCGGCGCCTTTCTTCAATTAAAATGTTTCCACGGCACCCTAACCTAAGTAAAATTGTGACTATTCCTATCTTGGTTAAATTAATTATTAAGCTTTTACAATATTTCGCTGCGCCCCTGTGAAGAGGTCGCGACTCCCCGGGGCGCCACGGAGCACAGTTTGGAATTCATTGACTTATGGGAATGTCTAGAGTGTTATGATATCATTTCTAAACCTTTAACTCGTAACTTCTACCTACCTACTTTTTTGTTCATACTTTCCTAAAAATATTTCTCAAATTACTTTTTTGTGTGTCTTGTTCCCAGGGAGGACTTTGTCAAAGATGTAGATAAATGGAGCGACTTTTATGCCGAGAGAGAGCCACATAAGGTGGAGCTGCCTGAGCCATGGAATAAAAAGTTAAATGATTTCCAGCGAATGATCTTACTGAGGACCATCAGGCCGGACAAGGTGAGAATTGCTGATGCCAGATTTCGAGAAATGTTAGCAATTTAGTTCTGACAGCCCAGGCAGTTGACATTTATGGCTGATAACATTATAGAGTTGAACTTTAAGTCAAGAGGCTCGACTTCATTGCTTCAGGTTTTATCCCCTATAGCTCAGACTCTCTCCACAGAATGGCTAGCCAACATCTGAGAGGGTCACACAAAGCACAAACTATGTAGCTCATCCAACAATTCCCAGGCATCTCTAAAATATTGCACTCATGAAGCGAATAATATTTATGTGAAACAAACCTATTACCTTCAGAGCATGAGGCATTGGCCACTTTGCCACTGAGACCTCTCTCTCCATCATGGAAGCAAAGAGTAGGAACACTGTGACCTATCATCTATGTCATAAGAGGTGCATACGGAAGGTTGGGTTGAGATGCCAGTTTCATTCCATTAAAAATGTATGTGCAAAATCCAACGTATAATGAAACAATTTACAACTTTTAATACAACTGCTAGCATGAGTTGATTGACAGCCTATGCTTCATTCAGAGAAGAAAGGCAGGAGTATAAGGACTGACAAAATGGAAGAGGAAGAATGAGGAGGAGAAAACAGATCGTTTCTGTACTTTCTTTTTCTTTTTTTCTGCGTTAGCCCTCGAATAAGCCGTTGGCACATTGTGTTGTGGATTACAGCTAGGCTGTGATATCTGCACCTTTTCGCCCAACGCATCCAGTTTCGGCAAACCCTTAATTAGTCACTTATTTGTGACATACTTGTTAATGAGTAGTGGGTTTACTCCCGCCCCCCACCCCCTCCTCCGCCACCCCCCCCCCCCAACCCTCCAACCCCCCCAAACCCAAAAACACAACAAAATTTGGAATCGCAGAACCCACAGAGTTGTATTAAAGATGCTTCAGAAGTTTCTGAAGTTTGCATCATAACGCGTAACTCATAACTCACAAAGTTAATTTTGGCCTAAAAACACTAGGAGTAATATTATAAGCGGGAGCATCTTATCCACCAAAAAATAAGGTACTCACTTTATTTCTGTGTTCACCCCCTGTAGATTGTTCTAGCAATCACCGATTTCGTCATGGAAAAACTGGGCAAGAAGTTTGTAGAGCCGCCACCTTTTGACCTTGCCAAGAGCTACATGGACTCAAATCCCTGGACACCATTAATATTTGTTCTCTCCCCTGGCGCTGACCCGACCATGAACCTTCTGAAGTATGCAGAGGACAAAGGGTTCGGCGGAAACAAGTTCAACTCTATTTCACTGGGTCAAGGACAGGTAAGTTTTCTTCACAAGTTCTATTTATAACTGTGTCCCAGATAGCTGAGACCTGCAGACCTCCATTATCTTTGAAGGTCTGCTTCAGATTCCATGCTTTTTTATAACCACGCTGAAGAACTTTTTTAAAAAACAAAGAGGGCTCTTTTCCACGCCTTTCAGGCACACTGGGCCTATATGGCTAGATCTATATTTTATAGACCACATGGCACTTGGTGGGGGATGTGGTCAGCATCACGCCAGCCGCCTTTACTTCCCAAGAGTCTACATGGTAACCACTCAAAACTGGGTCGACCTGAGAGCCAAAGTCATTTTTTTAAGAAAAAAACTGGTCTCCGTCAGGAACCGAACCCACGACTTTACAATCTGCAGGCGAGTGTCTAGCCACTAGACCACAGTGGCTTTCCGAAAAAACTTATTATAGTTTATAAATATTATAATTGCCCCCCCCCCCCCACCCCCCAAAAGGTTTGCATTCATTCTAAAGTGAGGATTTATTTGGTTGTTGTTGTTGTTATTTGTACATGATGTTGTAAAACTACCATAATATTATCTCAAGAAACTTATCAAGGCATTAAAAGTCTATGGTTAAGCACTAGCAAGTAAGTCAAGATCAAAACTGTGAGGGCATGCATCTTCCCCGTAGCAACATACAGATGTGAGTCAGGGACAATCTCACAGTCATTAGGGACTGACTGACTGACTGACTTTCTACCCCACCAGGACATCACACAAGCGATAAACACCCGATGACACAAAGTGCCACCATGCGGATGAGGACCGCCGTGGAGAGGTCCCAGAAACCGCGTTCAGACATTTGGCCATATGTATGGGCTGCCTACATTGCGGCCCCTGGCAAAAGCCAGAGTAGGGCTTCAAATGACAAAAAATTTCGTCCTAAAAAGGACGAAATTGGATATTTGTCATTAGGGAAGAAAACTGGGGCTTTTGAACTAAAATACTACAGAAAAATTATCAGAACAAAAATACATAAATACTCATATCCTAACAGATCTGACGTCAAGGAAGATTTGTTAGCAAACAACATCTTGTGTTGAAAATTGCAATTTTTTTGGGCCATATTAAATGCCATGGCAGACTAGAAAGAATAGTGACATAAGACATGTGGCCAGGAAAGGTGGGCAGGGACTTACTAGCACAAAGATCGGCAGGGGATATAATTGACACCTTTGGTAGGAAAGTGAATGAGACAGGACATCTAGTGAGAGACGAGTCCTTTTTTTCAAGCAGGCTGTAATGAGAGCGACATTTCTGCAGAGGACCTCATACATGACGATGATAATGATATCCTGAAGGCCTTAAATTTGTTCCATGCAGTGGCACTATTGCCTTTTTGCTTCTGTTTTTTTATCTCTCATTGAAACATAGGCCATGAAGCAACTGACATTAAGCCATCCTATCATATGCCATCTCATTTAGCTCTCTCTCTCTCTCTCTCTCTCTCTCTCTCTCTTCAAATTCTTGCCATATTCTTGACCTATTCATTTATTTAATCAGGTAATCACATTCCAAGTTAATAGCAAATTGGTTAACCCATAGTTGCTTTGTTCCTATTATTATCCAAGTCGTCCCCTCGTGGGATGCAATTTCTCGTTATTTAAAGCCCCATCCTGGCTTTTGCCAGAAGCCCTGAATATAGCTGGGCCACCATGTGGCCATAATGGCTGACAGGGGTTTCTGGGAACTCTCCATGGGCAATCCTCATCCGCATGGTGGCACTTTGTGTCACCGGGTGTTTATCGCTTTGTTTGATGTCCTGGTGGAGTACAACAAGCAAGCAAGAGCTTTGTTTCTACAAATTGATATGGACTGCGGTCCTAGCAAAACCAACATCATCCATGTGTATTCAATTAGAAATGCCAACAAAAACAGCCTGACAGTAGAAGTACAGTTCTTTGTTGATGGAAGTAGCAGTTATGACATATCAGTAGTTGACATGCAGTTAATTATATAAGGCACCACAAATTCTCTGGCATCAGGCCACTTGCCAATATGTTATATTTGCAGTTCCCAACATAAAACCATCTTAGACACAGTCAAAAAGTATTCCAAATTAAATCCACAGCTTACAGTCTCACACCATGCACTTAGATCAGTAGTTAGGCAATGGAATTAGTGCCATTTGTTATTGTCATTTCCCTTTGTTTTTATTCTCCGTACCTCTTTTTTGTTTGTAGTGCAGATTCAGTGAAAGAATATTCTAGTTGACAATGAGATTTTGTAAAATTCTATTCTGTTTGGTGAGTCTTTCCTCCATATTGTGCTTTTCGGAAATAGTTTGGCTTTTTCTCTAAACTCCAGACTAGTGATTTTTTTCATACCGTTTTAGTCCTTAAATTATGCACATATTTTAAATAGTTTCAAGTGTTATCTATTCGTGCTTTATGTTTTCATTCTGCTTTTCTAAGTTCTTCAAAGCATGGTTAATTCCAATGCTTTTAACAGTTCTTGTGTTTCCTTGATTTTGCATGTGTGTGTATATATATATATATATATATATATATATAAGTTTGAGTGAATGTATGTTTACTCATAAGTGTGGGTGCTTATTTGTGTATGTATGAGCATGAGTGCAATTATGTTTATGTGTGAGTGTATGTGTATGTATGTATATGTATAAGTGCTTGTGTCTGTGTATGTATGGGCATATAAGTGTGTATATTTCCGTGTATACTTAGAGTGGGTATGATTGTGTATACATGATGTGTGTATGCATTATTTCATTATTTATATTTTTATATAAATATAACATGCATTATTGATAACATTCAGTTGCAGTCATAAAGATTATATTTTAATCAAGTATCAGAAAATCTATTGATCGGCACTCATAGAAAGAAGAAGAAAGATAGAAGAACGCACTAGACAACATAAAAATGGAAAGCTATAGTTACTGTGCCGGGAATTGAACTTGCCACCTCTAGACGGAGAGTGTGCCCCGCCATGGATACAAGTGCACTAAAAATATGGTCAACTAGGCACCCCAACCCTCCCCTCCCCCCTAAAAGGTGTCTTATTGACCATGTCTATCGTACAGCTTGAAATACACAACTATGGAATACGGACAGAATTCATTTCAAACCATTGAAATGGCACCATAGGTTACAAAAATTTATATTAAAGAAGCATATGTCGAATAACAATCAGAGAAACAATTTACAAACACAGTAGACCCTAATGCTTTGTCTAGAATACACAAACATTTAAGAAAGGTATTTGATTGCTAGGTTCCGGTGTGTATACGTCATTTCTATAAATAAACAGAGAGAGAACCCCTGGCTGAAAGATGAGTGCTTGGAAGGGCCGAATGTACCCTTAAAAAATAGAGCTTGTTCCTTCAATTTTTCTTTCATTCCTCCTCCTTCTTCTATATCTTCCTCTAAGCAATAAATACCTAAATGGATTCTTTATACTAAAAGAGATTCATGATATACATATGCTTTTCTGTGTGTCATATAATTATGATGATGGTACAGAATGATGTAAAACACAGAGTAAACAAAATCACAGAATAATAGTTTTCAAACCTTTTACAGCAGTGTTCTTCAACTGTGTAGTGTTGCAGGTGTTGGAAAAGTTGACGATCACAGGACATGGCAAATCAAGCCCACATCTGTTGGATGTTTGTGGTTTTACTAGGCAGTTTTATTTACAGTAGTTTGTCATTGCTTTCTCAACCATCAACACCCATACCGTTGTTGAAATCAGTGCAAAGCAGTCTGCTGTCAAATTTCCCCCTGCTGAATCTTACATGATATGTTGAAATTATGAAATTGTGTTCATAACCCCTAAACCCCAGACACCAAGAAAATAATAATAGCTATGACACATAGCATTTACAAAATATGAACAATATCAATGTAATCAATGAGAATAATTGCATGATTTTATTTCAGGGTCCAATAGCAGCAAATATGATCAAGCAGGCTCAACAAGATGGCTCCTGGGTTTTGCTGCAGAACTGTCACTTGGCTGTGTCTTGGATGCACTCCCTTGAGAGGATCTGTGAGGAGCTAACTCCGGAGACAACTCACTCTGAGTTTAGATTGTGGCTGACAAGTTATCCATCTCCCAAGGTAATATAATCATGTAATCATTTCCTTGACAGAAATTGGGAATTAGTTTAAAGGTAGGATGCTATTGCATTATACTAACCTATTCTAGCAACCTTTTATGCTAAGTTGCTATGATCTTTCTTTGGCTTTGGGAATGGTATGAGGTAACTATGCAGCCAGTCCATTGGAACTGACGCTGTTCAATGCTGTTGTTGAAACATGACACCATTTCCCCAAAACATGACTGAAAACATGAACATGTCCAAGAGAAACCTTACAAGGAACATTGATGAGAGAGACTAGAGGTGCCAGATGAACTTTACTTAAGATAAATATTAAGTCAGAGAACTATCTAGATGCACACTGGTTTTAACAGTTACCAGAGAAAGAAATGGAAATATATTGGGCACTGATAAAGGAGACAAATATATTGAAGACATTGAAATGTTAAAGAGAAACCTTACAATGTATGTTGATAAGTAAGACTAGATGTGCCAAATTGGATTCCATCAACAGAATGACCATCAACAGAATGACAAGTATTCTACAGGAAAGAACAAACTGTGACAATCAACTGTGAGCCCAAAGTTATGTATAAATAGCACAAAAGGATTTGCAAGGAATTTATTTAGTTCTTTACCTAAGTATTCTTCTTCTTCTTGCTCTTCTTCTCCTCTTGTTGTTTTCCCGTCCTCTTTTACTGCTTCGGGTGTTAGGGGATATATAAGGTCCTGGTTCTTGATTTGCTGCTGCTTCAACCATAAACATTGTGCTGTTTTTTAGAGTTTCTCTGTTATTTTCTTTCCATCTTGTTCTTTGTCTACCTTGTTCTCCATGTCATTCTCCTCTTTTTATATATGCCTTGTATGGTATTTTGTGCAAAAAACCTATGTCATTGGAGGCTAGGAAACGAATTTTCACATGCTATATAGAGCCAGTTTTAACATACAGCTGTGAATCCTGGACAATTAATAAACAAGCTGAACAATATCATGAGGCTTTGGAGATGTGGTTTTATAGAAGAATTCTTAGAATTCCTTGGACAGCTCAGAAGAGCAACCCAAGTGTTTTGAAAAAGGCACGTGTTTGAAGACAACTTATCACAAACATCATAAAGAGACAGTCATAATTTTCTGGTCATGTTATGAGAAGAGGGAAACTGGAACATGTTGTGACCACTGGAAAGATCTGGAAAGAGAGACAGAGAAAGGCAGCACAAGAAGATTCTTGACAGCCTTTTGTCATGGCACGGCAGAGTGTCAGCATACAAACTGATACACACAGTTGCAGATTGTGTAGAGGCATGATCACCCATGCCAGTTGGCAAGGTACTTGATCATGATGTATGGCAGTGTTTCCCAAACTTGTCTTGGTCGCGGCGCCTTTTTCCAACAAAAAGATTTCCGTGGCGCCCTAACCGAAGTAAAAGTTTGACTATTCGTGTCTTGGTTAAATTAATTATGAAGCTTTTACAATATTTCTGGGCACTCCTGTGAAGAGGTCGCAGCTCCCTGGAGCGCCGCGACTCACAGTTTTGGAATCACTGATGTATGGTATGGTGTCACAAGGCATTCTCCCTAAGTGGGCAGACCCTTTGATTTTGCTGTCTTCTGTGTAATTTAGAATTGTTTCTCTTATGACCCCATTCCTGTTTTTATTTCTTCTGCTCACTCTGAAGTTGTAACACCCTTGAATGCTGCAAATTTAATTGAAATATAATTTGTCATATTTTATATTCTCTGGGTGTTTTTGTTCAGTTTCCAGTGACTGTTTTACAAAATGGTGTCAAGATGACAAATGAGCCACCCACAGGACTACGTCAGAACCTGCTTCAGAGTTACCTGAACGACCCAATTAGTGATGAGTCTTTCTTTAAAGGATGCCCTGGCAAAGAACAAGTAAGTTCATAATGTAAAGATTCCTTTTCACACCTTTGGGCGTATCGAGCATATGGAAAGAGCACCCATATTATTACAGACCAATCAGCACTAGGTGGGTTATGTGGTCAGCATTTTGCCGGCTGTCTTTACTTTCCCATCCTGGTTCCTATTTTAGGCTGGGTTGACCTGCACGCCCCATACCATGATAAAAATTCACGCAGCCAGCAGTGGGTTTCGATCGCGGTGCGTTGGTATTACGAGTCGGACTCGCAAGGCCTAAGCCATGGACACCGCCAAGTAAGTTCATAGTCATGATTAATTCAAACTTGTCAGTTCACCAACATGTTCAGATAAAACTGTCTCTCCGTGTGGGTTCCAGAGCCTTGATTTGGGGGAGAGAGGGAGGGAAACCTACTGCTCTTTAACTCTTTAAGCACCAAAACATTTAGCTGGACAATTCCAAGGTAACAATAGACTTAATGAACATAAACAATATGTGAGAGCATAACAGTCACAGATGCAGCAAAACAAATACAAAAGGAAATTTGAGTAACTAAGTTCCTTGGTCATGTGATGAGAAAAGGAGCACTGGAAAATATTGTGATGACTGGAAAGATCACTGGTAGAAGAGTCAGAGGCAAACCAACAAAAACAATGGTTGATGGCTTAAGACAGTGGCATTGAGGAATATCATCAGTGGAATCGATCCAGAACACCAAAGACCGCGATCTATGGAAATGTCTGAACGCCAGCTGGCGAGGCACTTGATAATGATGAACCAGTTTTATAGTGTTTTTAGGCTGAACATGAGTTAAATCGTTTATGGTTTGGTCTCATGGGCAATACCTGATCACACATGGCGCATCGGCTGGGACTGAAAGAGTTAATAGGCACGTCATAAAAGACGACTATTTACAGACTTGCTTAAATGTGATGTAAAAGTAAATTAGAGATCCCTTTTCTCGCCTTAGGCACATCAGGTACATGGGAAGAGCGTCCCATATTTTTACAGACCAATCGGCACTGGATGGGTAATGTGGTCAGCATTACGCCGGCCATCTTTACTTCTCCAGGACAGAAATATGATGTGTTGGGCTGAAAGATGTGGATAATGCAGCCTAGCTGTCAATTTTGAAATGTGAATGTTGAATTTACAATTGACATCATAGCACTCAGGACCCTTCCATAAACACTGCATCCCCATCTTCAGCAGCAAGTGAAGAGTTCCGATTCCGATGGTACCAGTAACTGTCTGATAATTAACTGTCAGTCTTGACACAATGTGATGACCACCCTTATAGGGGTCAATGCAGAAGCAGAAGATTCGAAACATCTGTATGATATTTCTGATGATGCCCAGAGACACCTGGATGATATTTCTGATGATGCCCAGAGACACCTGGATGATATTTCTGATGATGCCCAGAGACACCTGGATGATATTTCTGATGATGCCCAGAGACACCTGGATGATATTTCTGATGATGCCCAGAGACACCTGGATGATATTTCTGATGATGCCCAGAGACACCTGGATGATATTTCTGATGATGCCCAGAGACACCTGGATGATATTTCTGATGATGCCCAGAGACACCTGGATGATATTTCTGATGATGCCCAGAGACCATTTTTCTTTTTTAACAGCATGTTTCTTTAAACTATTGATTAAATAATTTTTCAACAAGTTATGGCACTAAGGAAATTCATCATGGACATCAAAATAAAATAGCAATCACGGTCTAATGGCATAGGAAAAGAACAATAAATAATTTTAACAGTCATTGAGATCATTGGAAACAAAGCAGATTTACTAATAGCTTATAAAAAGACAGAGAAATATCAGGCTGCATGTTCAATGGAGAGGAGGAACTTCATCCCTGACCTTTACTGCCCTATTACCCTGGGCTGTGAATCCCATGCCTTCCCAAAGCACAGTATAACACTGTTGTCTGGAAATACAGAAAAGTTTCAGCAACAGGTGGTGATTCAGCACAGCATGAAGGACTAGCTGGGATTAGGTTAGTCAGGCTTCTTCGAAAGGTTTTAGGGATTCATGGTCCCTAGATGCCAACTACTTTTCTGTGTTCACCATCTGTAAATTCAAGTGTGAAGTCCCCCGTGTGGATTCCGGGGCCCTATTGTGGGGAAAACAAGAATAGACCCACTGCCTCCCCAAAAGCATGTCGTAAGAGTCGACTAACTGGGGAGCTTCCTTTGAAGTCGGAGTGCATCTGCCTGAGAGGCAAGGAACCAGCAGTCTGCATTCAATTGAATCAGATCTGTAAAACTGATGCACACGCAACACTCAGGTTCTGGAACAGGACTGCAGTCCAGAAGTGGACGAACAACCAGAACTTTACACCAGAGTTTACAGCTGGTGAACGCGAAGAAGAAGAAGAAGAAGTGTGAAGTGCTGGTTGTTTGTCTTCTGGACCTTTGTCTTGTTCCAGGACTTTTTGCATGCACATCTAGTTTAAAAATCCCGCTTTTTTGTATACAAACCTTTTCTTCTTCATCTCTCAGGCAGATACATCTCACTTCAAAGGAAACATCAGCCCTGTCTATGTTGAGAAGTTGGGAACCTTTTGTTTAGAATGACCATGAAGTGGTGTAAGCCAGTTTGAGGTTTGAACAACGGATCAACATCATGGCACACCGGTAGTAACCCATAAGTGTTCCTTTCTTCTTCCAACTCGTCTGAGTTCGAAGAAGCTCAGTACAGTGCACAGGCTCTGTAGCACCAGTGAGGATCGTGAAATACTTTGGGTAGATTTTAAACTCCAAATTTTGCCCAGGCAGTGCCATTAGGCTACTCTTTTCAATTTCCAGTGCACACAGGCGTCCGATCTCACTACCCAGAGACCAGGGGAAATTACTAAAAGTCCAAATCTACGTGAAAATATCCCAGCCTTCACCGGTGTAGGCAGATCTTGACCAGTATGTGCCCTGGTACTAGAGCACAGCCATGTGCAAGCTGAGCACGTCTGCATCCCAGACTCACATGCTCAGAGCATTCTGCATTTATTGTTTTGTTTTATTTCTACATAACTTCTGTCTTTAGAGTTTTGAGAAGCTTCTGTTTGGCTTGTGCTTCTTCCACGCTTTGGTACAAGAGAGGAGAAAATTTGGACCTCTAGGATGGAACATTCCATATGGATTCAATGAGTCAGATCTTAGGATCTCAGTGAGACAACTCCAGGTATGTATAGTTCTCTCAAACATCATTAAATGTACAATAATAGTTACAATAAGTTAAAAGTTTTACTCTTAGGCAAGCAGTGGTTAGTACTTTAAGTCAGCAGTGGCAACAATTCATGATGGTAGGTTAATTTTTTTTTTTTTTTGTAAAGGCCGATTTGTTAGATCCTGTATTGTCAGATCCTGTATTGTCAGATCCTGTATTTACCACTTTTATTAGAGTGGTATAAAAAAAGGAGTCTAAATAATTGTTTCTTGTAAAAAATGAAATGTTTTTTGCATCTACTTTTAATTAACTCCCTTTATTATCTTGTGATAAATTACATTTTATGTCTTTCTGTAGATGTTTATCAATGAATACGATGAGATTCCCTTCAGTGCAATCACCTACATGACAGGAGAGTGCAACTATGGTGGCAGGGTGACCGACGACTGGGACAGGAGATGTCTTATGACCATCTTGGCTGATTTCTACAACCCTGCAGTCGTAACTGATCCCAAGTACAAATTTTCGGCTAGTGGCAATTACCACTGTCCAACCAAAACTGGTTACCAGGAAGCCATAGAATTTATCAAGGTGATTTATTTTCAAGTTCAGATTTCTTTAACTATAAAGTTACTTTGCTTTCTATCCAAGAGTTTATTGATGTTAACCCTGCAAAACTTACACTTCCAGTCGGGGCAAATTCTTTGTAAATGTCCCTTTCCCGACTTCTTTGTATTGACCTGTTTACAAGATGTATAGTTAATGCTATTAGCTGTATTCGCACAAGTGTAAATGTTTTTGAGGTTGGGATTTGAAACTATTAATTATTTTTAAAAAGCACTGGGGAAAGGGGGTTCTTTCAAACCAACTGTTTTTTGTTTTGTTTTTTAAAGCCAAAATTACATAAAATTTTTCTGTAAGCAGGAAATATATACCTTTTCTGAGCACCAGCGAACAGTAGGCTATCAATCATTTTGGCTAGAAGCAAATTACTACAGTAAGAAACCTGATAAACACCAATCAGTCACACTCTAGAGATCACGTGTCACAGCAATGGTCACTAGATTTTTTTTTTTTTCCCCATGGAATGTATTCCATTTAATGCTTCATTCTATTCAAGCTTGTTGATTACTCCCCTTATATATATATATATATTAAGACAATTAATTTTAATATACAATAACAAAATTTTTATTAAATATATTAGTGGCTTGTGTAAAATTGCTGATTAAAAAAAATTATGTCGAGAATTCCGGGGTCTGTGTACTGATCTGGTTAAGCTGTTAGATTCATATTCTGAAACCTCCCCTTGTGGGTTCTGAGGCTCCATTTTGGGGGAAAACAAGAATAAACCCACCGCCTCACTAACAAGCATGTCCTAAGAGTTGACTACTTAGAGGTTTCCTTCAAAGGTAGAGTGTGTCTGATTGAGAGGGCACCAACAGTCTGTGTACAAATAAGCCAGATCTGTGCACAAATAAGCCAGATCTGTGTACAAATAAGCCAGATCTGTGCACATGAAAATCAAGTTCTGGAACAGGACTAGGATTCAGAAATGGATGAACAACTGGAACTTTCCGCCAGAGCTACAACAGTGAACGCGAAGGAAAAACTATTCTGAAGATCAGTGGTTTGTTTCACAGACTGCATCATTCATTATAAGAGTGCAGTTTTTACAGATTCCTGGAAATTTTTGCAAGTGCATTCTACGTAAAGACTGATCTCGTAGGGAATAAAACCTAGTGCAATGAAACTGATCATTTTGACTTGAAACATTTGAAATTCAACACACTGATTACCCACTTTAAATTTAACAAATGCCGACACAAACAGTACACTGCACACCAGCATATTTCATTCTCTCTTCATTTGCATTTCTAGTTTACATAAAAAAAATGAAGCACATAGATGAATCTTTTTTGAACTGAAATATACAAATCACAGTTCTTTAGTTACAATGTAATGTCACCACAGGAAATTCAAGATTAGACACATATTTACCTCAGAAGTTTCAAATTACCACATACTCTTTCTGTCTGCACAAAGCTAGGTTGTTCATTTTAGTTGTAAAAGCTTCTGCCAGTTTCAGTAGATACCTATTGTTTATTTTTTTATTTTCTCTGAAAGTACATTCTGTTGTATTCTCTTTCTGCTCAGAGTCTTCCGGGAACCCAGCACCCAGAGATATTTGGCATGCATGAAAATGTGGAAATCTCCCGAGAGCTGCAGGAAGTCCAGCTGCTGTTTGACTCAGTTCTGCTCACCCAAGGAGGACAAGCTGGCAGTGGGGGCAGCACCGACGAGGCTTTGGATGACATTGCTACTGATATTTTGTCCAAGGTGAGTCAAACAAATGTAAAAGCAACCTTAGCTCTGTCCCTCTAGAAATACTAACATTTAAAAAAAATGGGGCATGACCCCCATCTTCCCCCCCCCCCCCCCCCCCCCCCCAATGTATCAAAAATTACTTAAACATTTTTTTTTACATATATAACTAATTAGCCATTAAATTTCACCGTGTGGGTTCTGGGGCCCCATTGTAGGGGCAACGCACACAATCAAAAATAGACCCACTGCCCCATATCCCACAAGCATGTCGTTGCAGTCACTTAATTAGGGCTGCTTTCTTCAGAGTCAAAAAAGCGAGGAAATGACAGTCTGCCATCTGTAAAATGAATGTGCATGCAAAACACAAGTTCTAGAACAAGACTAAAGTTCAGATGTGGATGAACAACCAGAACTTTTGGCCATAGTTCACAGCTGCTGAATGCAAAGAAGAAGAAGAAGAAGATGAAAAAGAAGAAGAAAAAGATGATGATGATGATGAAGAAGAAGAAGAAGAAGAAGAAGAAGAAGAAGAAGAAGAAGAAGAAGAAGAAGAAGAAGAAGAAGAAGAAGAAGAAGAAGAAGAAGAAGAAGAAAAAGAAGAAGAAGAAGAAGAAGAGAAAAAAAGAAGAAGAAAAAGAAGAAGAAGAAGAAAAAGAAGAAGAAGAAGAAGAAGAAGAAGATGATGAAGAAGAAGAAGAAGAAAAAGAAGAAGAAGAAGAAGAAGAAGAAGAAGAAGAGGAAGAAGAAGAAGAAGAAGAAGAAGAAGAAGAAGAAAAAGAAGAAGATGAAGAAGAAGAAGAAGAAGAAGAGAAAAAAAGAAGAAGAGAAAGAAGAAGAAGAAGAAGAAGCATAGACTACAATTCCCAGAGCCTTAAACTGTATTTACTGGGTGACTCATGCCCTGACCCTGTGACCTCTAATTCTAAAGATTATGGGACATTGTGATACTGATTGGCCTTAACCCCACTGACCTAGAAAAAAGCCAAGATCGAGTACCTTTAGTATTTCAGGAATTCTGATCACTAAGCAGATAACAGAAGGCTGCTCCACTTTTGTGCATGTCAGGAGTTGGATGGCCATCTTTTAACTGTCATTATAACATCACCATGTTCATCTGCACTCTGGTATCATGTGCTTGACACAGTTGACATCCTTAACAACAATATTGACAGGTTTCCAGACAGTGGCATGGTTATTGTAATTTCCATTGCACTTTAATGTTTTAATCGAAGGCCCCTCGTCTCGGTATAATCTAAATTTAGGCATATGTAATATGTTAAGGCATTTGCTATTAAACAGTAGCTACAAACTGCAGCTCGGGAGTTCGCTTCCTGGTGGAGCCAAACTTTTTTCAAAAATGACCTTGGCTTCCAGGTCTACTCAGCCTTGAGTGGGTACCGGGTGCAGTCCTGGAAAGTAAAGGCAGCCGGCATGATGCTGACCACATTACCCATCTTGTGCCGATTGCTCTTTTAAATATAGGTCTAGTCCTATTTCCCTACAGGCATGGTAAAAGGTCCTTTACTTTACTTTACTTACTAACCTACTGCAGCAGTTAATAATTTGTTTACATTCACAAATGCTGGAACTTAAATAACAATTTTTAACTTTCCTAGTTGCCAGAAGACTATGACATTGAGGCTGCCATTGCTAAGTATCCAGTTATCTACTCTGAAAGTATGAACACAGTTCTTGTACAGGAAATGGAACGATTTAACAAGTATGTCTGCTAAGCTTTGATTTCTATTGAGTTTTTCAGTGTTTCACTCTTCATAGCAAAAAAACCTGGCCAGTACTGTAGAGATCATCTGCTGCTAATGCAGAATGTTCTGTAATTCTGCAGGCTTTGTTTTACTCCAAAGGAAAGCTGAAACCAACATGTTCGGAACAACGTATGCTGTAGATGCTGGCTTGCAGATTAGAAGAGCCATGCTCTGTCTGTTTACCTGTAGAAGCTTCATTTCTGACCAGCTACCAACCAAGCATAATTGTTATTGCTGTTTTGTTTCTTGGTGTTGTTTGCTAACAAAGGCTGTTTGCCACAACATCTTCTATTTAGGGGATTATAATTTTCTACCACCAATCTGTACCTAATGATTTCTTCTTCTTCATCCTCTTTACTTTCTCTGTTACCACTTTAAGTGTTGAGGAAGATATAAGATTCTGCCTCTTTCTCTCCTGGCCGCCTTGACCTTAGACACATAGTGCTGTTGTGGAGTTTTTCCGATGTTATCTTTTCATCCTGTCTACCTCATGCTCTTTTTCCATCTCCTCTTTTGACCTGTGCCTTGTGTGGTAAGCATCGCAAGGAATTCTCTCAAAGTGGGCAGACCATTTGATTTACTGTCTCTGTATGCAGTTTAGAATTGGTTCTGTGCTGATTTTTTTTGGTCTTATGACCTCATTCCTGATTTTATCTCTTCTGGTCACTTCTGCAGCCCTTCTTAGACATCTAATTTCCATGGTTACTAATTATCTTTTCTTGTTTGCTGTTAAGTGACCATGTCTAGCACTGGTAAAATAGGGTTAAATGTGCTTTGTATGAGATATTTCTTTATGCTGATTGGGATTGTCTTGTGTTGAAGGAGGAGTGCTAGCTGTTCCAATACTTGGTTTGCTGCTTCATGTTTTCTAATTGTTATTATTCTTACAACTTAACCATAATTCAATCTTTACTTATATATAGCAATAACGTACATGATTTTAATGAAGTTCTTTGATTAATATTTCTTTTCAGACTTCTGGACATAATTAGATCCAGTCTTCAGAATATGCAGAAGGCAATCAAAGGCCTTGTGGTAATGTCAGCAGAACTGGAGGCCTTGGCCAGCAGTCTTCTTATAGGCAAACAACCGGCCATGTGGATGAAACGATCCTACCCATCCCTGAAGCCACTCGGCAGCTATGTTAATGACTTTTTAGAGAGGCTGAAATTTTTGCAGGTGTGAATTTGTTTTTGTTTTTTAATTTTGTGGCAAATAAGAGGAACATAATTAAACAGCCTTTGTTTTTCTGGATTCTGCAGCCCTGTTGGGAGGACGCAGGGATAGAACTACTGTCCCCACCAAGCATTTCGTAGAAGGCGAGTAATTAAGTTTTTGCTAAGGAAGATTGGCTAATAAACAGCATCCTGTCTCGGAAGTTAAATTATTTTGGTCATATCAAGCGCCACGACGAATTGGAAAAAATTATAGCAGAAGGCGTGGTACCAGGAAGGAGGGGCAGGGGCTGACCGACACGAAGATGGGCACAGGATATAAGTGACTCCTTGAGTGTGAAAGTACATGAGGCGGGAGAACTGACGAGAGACCAAGTTTCTTTTAGGCAGACTGATGAGAGCCACGTTCTGCAAAGGACCTGCTGCATGATGATGATGATGGTTGTGTTGTACACACACATACACACACAAGCACAACAAGTGTAGAAATCAGAGCCCAGCTTTAAACCATCACACATCATGCAACCAATATTTGAAGGGTGAATTCAGCAAGAGACAAAGAAGACATGACATATACTGCCCTGAACAGTTGGGTTTAAAAGGTTTAACTTCAAGAGAATTGACTTTACTGTGCCAGATTTTATCCAGGATGGCTTTCTCTCTCTACACAGGTTGCCAAGAGCATAACACAAAGCACAGACTTTGTAGCTCCACTGATCTCTGTACACATTTCCTTGGACCACAAGCAAAGGTTATTTTTGTTCTCTTGCTTGAAGATTGTATATTCTTTACTCATCAATCTTATTTTCTTTAAGACCCTAGAGTATTTTTTTCTTCAGACCACAAGCCAAGGTCTTATCATCTCAGAACTGACAATCAGCGTTTTTTTTTACACCCCAAGATTTTATTTTTCCCAGAACCAAAATCTTAATTTCTTCAAACTCTAAGATTTTGTTGTTCTCAGACTTTCACTTCTTTCTTCTCTAAAACTTCAAAGTCTATTATTCTAAAGTCCCAAAATGTTATTTTCCCTAGACACCCCCCCCCCCCCCAAAAAAAAAAGAAATCATACATACATATGGCAGAAGAGTCTGTTGTGTCCAGTATGCAATCTAAAATTTAATTACTTTTTAATGAAATAATAATCTATAAAAAGTACAAACAGTATAAATAAAAGTACGCATAAATATATTTGGTATTTATAATAAACAGTTATTGTTATGAATTCATTCATAAATTTCAGTTCTTTTAAAATTTTTAAAATTAACTCCTACTGTAGATCTCACTCTGCATTTCCTGTTTGTATAGCAATGGTACGTGAATGGCAAGCCAGAGGACTTCTGGGTATCTGGATTTTTCTTTACACAAGCTTTCCTGACCGGTGTGATGCAGAACTTTGCCAGGAAATATACGATTCCAATAGACACCCTGGCATTTGATTTTGAGGTTTGTACAAATTTTTAAAATTGCCTGCTTACATATATTTCTTTCAACACCCATCATAACCATTGAGGGGCCGCATTAGCGCAGTCGATAGGAGACTCACTTTTAAATCCAGCTGTGACTTGCTGCAGCCCACGACCCGTGTTGAAAACTGGGCGGTTTCTGGGGTTTACCCAGCCTCTAGGAAATGGGTACCAGAGTTAACACTCTGGGGTAAATGGAGGAACGTGGCTGTAGCTAGGGAGTTGTGTGCGGACGGCGACACAGGCGGACAGTTTCTTATCAGCTGTCCATACTAGTGGCAGAGCACTTATGGTTAATAACTGTGTACAATGAGGCTGGTTCACATCTCCTGACTTTACTTTACTTCCTATTAAAATAACATACTTTGAGAATGTCACATAGGGCTCAAAGTCTGTTTCTCCATTCAGTTCTATCCTGTGCAGTCATGTTGGTATCATAGAAGGAGTCCAGTCCAGCATCTTTAGATTCTCTCATCACATTCACCTTGGGGTTTTTCTTGGACGTCATCAGTTCCTAAATTCCTCGATTTCCATTTCAGTGCCTATTACGAATTCTCTCTCTTCATCTCTTCTCAGAACTTTGCCAGTATATAGAGCCATCTTATCTGTCGATACTAGTAGTTGCCCAGACATTTCTCTTATTTCTTCATTTCTCTTGAATTCATCTCATTTTATGTTCATCAGTTTCTTTAGGCATTTGTTATTGAAGACATTTTACTTTTGTTCCGTGTCTTTACTGATTCTCCAACTTTTACTGGCATATTTAAAACTGAAATATTCTGAATACATAAAATAATTAATTAACTTTTAAAAAAAAAAAGATACAGTATTTCTTATCTAATTTAAAAGAAATTATATTTTATAACATGTTTACAAAATTCATTTACAATTGAATATCACAAAGGGTAAAAACAGTATATTTCATTCTATGCCAGACTGTTCAACTTCTGCACCCAAGTTTTGAGTGATTACAGAACATGCAGAAATTTTTGTTTTATGTACTGCTGACATTTTTAGTTCTTTGATTTTGACAGTCAGACTATTTTTAATATTGCAAGTTGTAATATTATTCAATCTACTGTTTTGTTTTGCACACAAACACACTAAAAGTGTTACCAGAGGAACCATAGTGTCTGAGTCTCAGTTGGCATTGCAGAAGGTTTAAAACAGACAATTGACATGAGCAGATACAAAGTATTAGCATGTTTATCTTACAAGAAATCATGTGGATAAACTGTCCCTGATATGCAGGAGTGCAAGAGAATAAATGAGTGGATAGTTACAAAAGCATTAGCAACAGGAACCCTTATGCTAAAGATTTGAGACAGTCTGAAGACCAGGGCTTTTTACTGATGGTGTGCAACCGTACACAGTACCAGCACCATTTTTTAGCATAATTTTCTTTTCAGGACTACTGTAATAGGCCCTTTATAGTGATTATTGACCCCATTTTAATACATTTGTGGTGAGTACCGAAACCTTCTTTTCTAGGAAAAGCCCTGCTGAAGAGCATTTATAAACAAATGCTGATTGGAACAATGATGTTGGTACTGAATCATTCAGCATCTGCACCCTATGATATTTGCTGTGGGAGACCGCGAAGCCCTGAGTATGTCTGGTATTCTATTATGTTGATTCTCAAATCGGTAAGGTTCACATTAATCTCCCCAAATAGAGTAGCTCACTGTGCATTCACAAGTTTGTTGGGCTGGTCGACTTTCCTGAAGGTTAAGGGTGTGTCCCGCTCTGTTGTTTGCTTTCTGTTATGTCTTGCATTTGTCTTTTCATTCTGAGAAAGAGAATGCCTGTGATATAAGTTGCAGCACTCTCTAGGGAGAGTTGTGTTAGGACCAGTTTCTCTATGTTTTTAGAGTGTTAAAAGCACTGGGGTACTGAAGTATACAACACGCGATATCAACAGCATTGTGTAACACCCCCGTAACCTTGTGCCAAGGTGACTGGTTCAGGAACTACCAATCAGAAGTGAGCTAGTGTGTGTGTGAGTGGGGCATAGGGAGACCAACGTTACTTTTACCCTCAAATCAATGAGTCAATCATCTTTTCTGTGTTGTAGGTGCTGACTCATGATCGCATGGACAAATCCCCAACTGATGGAGCTTATATTTATGGCCTGTTCCTTGATGGTGCTCGCTGGGATAAAAAGAAGTAAGTTTCTAGACTCAGCCCTGACATACTGGAGCTCGTAGGGAAAGCAGAATATCATTATTGTATATCTTGCTGACTACCGGGGCTTCGTGGTTTTGAGACATCATGTCCGCTTTGAATGCTGGAGGTTCCAGGTTCAATCCCCGGTAAGTGCTGGGATTTTATCACGTGGACTTGGACTTCTAGTATTCCCCCTGGTCTCTGGGTAGTAAGATCGAACGCCTGTGTGTATTGTTGCACACGTAAAAAAATCTCTTGGCAGTTGGAAATCGAAAAGAGTAGCCTTACAGCGTTGCCCAGGCACAATTTGGAATTTGTTTTTTAAAAAAAATGCCTGTCATGAATCTTCTTTCGTTGTCTACCTTTATCTCTTTTTTTTTTTTTTCAACCACAGATCTTTCCAGTAGTCACAACATGTTCCAGTTTCATTCCTCTCATGATATGACCACAAAAGAAAAAAAAATGTGATGACTGTCTCCTTGTGATGTTTGTGAAAATCTGCCTTCTGGCCCTCACCTCTTTCTAAACATCTGGGTTGCTCTTTTTGGCTGTCCAAGGTCTTTTAAAGATTCTTCTGTAAACACACAATTGCAAGGCCTCAAGAGATTGTTTAGCTTGGCAAGCAAAGAACAATAGGACTAAACCCTGCCAAGCATGCCATAAGAGGCAGTTAAGGTGGGTTAAAGTTGCTGGCATTGGAAAGGACAAGTTTTGAAAAACTGATAATAATATTCCTATTTGTACACACTTAAAAGGTGGATGGCACATTGGGTTGTAGTTGCAGTAAGGCACAGGAACAAAAGTAACTACTTCTTATATTTATTTAGCACATATTTGCAATTGTGTGTACTTATTTCTAACTAGACATTGCTAGTATAAAATACATAACAACTCTCCTTTAATAAGCTCACTTGTGTTTATTAACCTTTGATTTTGTGTCCCCTCTAAAGTGGCTGTCTTGAAGAGCAGAGGCCCAAAATTTTGAACGAGCCTGTGCCCGTAATCTGGCTGCTGCCAAAACGTATGGACGAGATAGATGAGTCCCGACAGCGTTATAAATGTCCAGTCTACAAGACCAGCGAACGTAAAGGTGTACTGTCCACTACAGGACATTCAACCAATTTTGTTTTGGCAATTCTTCTGCCTACCAAGAAACCCTTCCAGCACTGGATCAAACGAGGCTGTGCGTGTCTTTGCCAGAAAGATGACTAAATTGTGTGTGTGTGTTTTTTTTTTTTTTTAAATATCTTGATTGTTGATGTTCAAATTGTAATTGTTCACTGCACTTCCAGTCTAGACATTATGAGTGAATGATTGCAGATAATGCTATGACCTTGGCTGATGTTTATTTTTATTTGTTATGACCTTGGCTGATATATATACATTATATATATATATTTTTTTTAAACTATGTATTTTTTGTGGTTCACTGTTGCTTCTTTTGTTATTATTATTATACCTGTCATTGCCTCCTACACATATATTTTATGTTTTTTTAGAAAGTGTATATTCTGACTATTGTATACATTTTCTGTTTCGTTAGACCTTTTTCTTTCGGTTATGATATGTTCTTGTTAGACATTTTATCTTTTGATTATGTATGTCTTGTTAGACATTGTATCTTTTGATTAAGGTATGTTTGATTAGACATTATTTCTTTTGATTATCATATTGACTATTTTTTGTTAGACTTTAATCTTTTGATTAGAAATTGAGTGTTTTGATTAGACTTATGATACGTTTGTTTAGACATTGCTTCTTTTGATTATGCTGTGTCTTATTAGATGTTGTATATTTTAATTAGACATTGCACAATTTGAATAAACAATGTATGTTTTTATTAGAAAAGTACCGCTGAAGATAGGTCCACTTCAGCAGCCACCTCCGACTACTTCTACATCCTACAGAAGACAGTATGGTCTTCTCTGGTAACTTTGTCTCCTTCTTTCTTATTCCGAGCCCTTGAGGTTCACTGCTGCAGATATCACCTGCCTCCACTCATCTCTCTGGTTGGTTTTCTCTTTCCAGTTGGTGACACCGTTTGCAGGTCTTTCTGGACATTATCTCTCCGTCATCTTCTTTGTTTGCCTTGTGGTCTATGACCATTCAGCTCCCTTGTGTAAACAGTTTTTACCTCTCTGTTATCTGACATTCTCTCAATATGCCTCAACCATTTCAACCTATTATCTCTCATGATGCCAGTGATCAGGGGTGATTTAAACAGATTATGAATTTTGTTGTTGCTTCTCACTCTCCATTCCCGGCTGTTTACATCTTCGATAGATCCAAAGATTTGTCGTAATACTCTGTTTAAAAAAAAACCTGTAATAAGCCTTCATCTCTTTTAGTTGTACTCCAAGTTTCAGAGCCCTATAAAACATATTAACGTTTTATATATTTTGATCTTTGTGTTGCAAGATAGAAACTTTGACTTTTGTCTATGTTGAAGGGCATAGTATACTTTATTTCAAGATTGTATTTTACTTTTTATCTCTTCTGTCAGCATGTTGGAGCAGTTAAAGTTTGCACCCATGTACTTATATGTTTCTGTTCGTTTGATTTTCATATCATTGACTTGTATGTGATCAGAGTTTGTATCCTTTCCCTGTCTTGTTATTATCATGTATTATGTCTTATCTTGATTTATAACTAGTCCCATTTTCTGAGCTGCTTCTTTTAAAAGAGTCAGCGTTTTTACAGTCTCTAGTTCATTTTCTCCAACAATATGAATGTTGCATAACTAAGTATCCTTGTAGTTTCTCCTATAGAACACTGCTTTAAATGTCCTTATAATTCTCTAGTAACACTGACCGTATATCATGTTTTCATATGCACACTTTGGTTCTCATCATTGCTTTGTTTTGTGCACTGTGCTTAAGATCTCTAGTGTATAATCTGTGATGAAAGGAGACTGAAGCAATAATGGAGCACTGGTGTCCATAAAGGTTAGTTATTTAGATGCCATCTTTGCAATGAAAGTTGGCTGTAATGGAATCTTCAGCCTGCTCTCTTTTGCCCTGGATATACACTCTCTCAGACTGCTATCATCAATCTGTTGATGTTATCCTCCCACTTGTATTGCTGTTGCCTCTTGCTCTCTCACCTTCAACCTTACCCTCCAGCATGGTTTTTATAGGAGTGTTCTGTCTTTTAACTCTTTAAGTCCCAGGGAATGCACCATAATTTCATTGGTTGCTACCTGGAAACCCAATGAAAGCAAGATGCATCGATTTTAGTCTTTCTCAGCATCACCCCTTGGGCCTCTGATGCTTAACCCTGGGACTCAAAGAGTGAATATTTCTTTATCCCTTTTGTTTCTTTTTAAATATTTTTTTTTTTTCAAATTTATGTAGCAACTCTCTTAACTCATTGTCTTTTTAAAAACTCTGTTTTCGATTCGATGAATTACAACTTATTCTTTTGTATATCCACATCTCCAGAGACTCAGTACAATTGTCTAATTGATTGTTTATTGTCTAGGTCTCTGCACCATGAACATGTTCATTAGCAAATCAAAACTCAACGTAGTATCTTTAGAAGGGGGAAGAGACCTTGTTTGTATACAAATTGCTAATATTACATTGAGAGAATCAGGAGGCCCTAAATATAACCTGGCCATGAGTATGGCCTAACGGCTGAATGGGGTTTCTGGGACCCCTCCACGGGGGATCCTCATTCGCATGGTGGCACTTAGTGTCGGCGTAACGCTCACCACATTACCCACCCGGTGTCGATTGGTCTGTAAAAATATGGGACGCTCTTCCCAAATGCTGGATGCGCTTACAGCATGAAAAATGATCTTTACTTTACTTTACCTTGAGAGAATAAAGTAAAGCTAAGATGATAAGTTATTCCTTTTGTTACGGCTGGTGTATTTTGATCATTATTTTGATTATGTATTTTTGATACTAATTAAGGCCCGTAGAGTTGTTTGTTTCAATTTTTTTTTTCTGGGAAAGTTATTGTTTTGTTTTTGCAAATATTTTTTGGGCGGAAAATCCCACAATTTCATGACAAATGGTTCATATAATTGGTGGGCGAAAAATTTAAGGATTATTTTTCTCTACTTCTATGTTTTATTTTCAGTATTTGCTCATTCCATGACTATTCTTTTTTTTTCCTTTGTAACGCAACAAATAATTGTTTGACTTCTGTTGCTAGTTGCTTTGTTTAAAAATTAATTGTTTGTTGCAAGTTAAAATAAGAATAATTGATACGACACAGATTATATTGAAGTGTTTGCTACCTACCAACAATGGAAGTAATTTACATGTTGTATATCACAATAAATATTCACTTTACAATTATAGAACAGTATGCGTCACAATGAGTTATTTATCACTGTTCACTCTGATATACTTAGACAATAAGTTAGAGTCAGGGTCGAGAGGATCGACTTCATTGCATCAGGATTAATCCCATATGGCTTGCTCTCTCTCCACAGAATGGCTACCCACCTGTGAGAGCATTGCACAGGGAATGAACTCTGCAGCTCCAGCGATCCCCAGGGATCTCCATAAAAATTGCATTCATGAACCGAACGGCACCAGCATGAAACCAACCCACAAATGTGAGGCAAACGTCTTGACCACTTCGCCACAGAGACCCCTAGTTTAGCTTGCTGTGTATAGTTTAGTGACATGGCAGTTTTTCAGTAACTGTATAGTATTTCTTCTTCTTCTTTGCGTTCACCAGCTGTAAACTCTGGCAGAAAGTTCTGGTTGTTCATCCAATTTTGGACTGCAGTCCTGTTCCAGAATCTGAGTGTTGCCTGTGCATCCGTTTTACAGATCTGACTCTTTTGTATGCAGACGGCTGGTTCCTCTCAGGCAGATGCACTCCGACTTCAATTAGTCGACTCTTATAACATACTTTTGAGTAGGCAGTGGGTCTATTCTTTTTTCCCTCTATAATAGGGCCCCAGAACCCAGACTGGGATGTTCAGTATTTAAGATGACTAGAATTTTATAAATACTAGTTGTTTCAGTGAGTGTCTTTCCTGGGAAAAACACAGTGTCTTATCTAGCTTGTGTCTTGCAATAATACATTGTTGATACAGTAAATGTAAAGGACCCTTTCCCATGCCTGCAGTCCTACTGGGCTTATAGGGCTAGATTTATATTTTATAGACCAATCGATGCTTGGCGGATGATACTGTCAGCCTCCTGTACATCCCAGGACTTCACCTGGTTCCCATTTAAGGCTGGGGAACCTGGGTCTTTTTTTTTCCAAAGTCCAGCACTGTTCAGATTTGAACCAATGACTTTTGGATCCACAGGCGAGCCTGTGGCCACTACACTATGGTGGCTGCCCAATAATTATTCTTTAGGGCTATCCTCCGAATAATGGGCAGAAAATATGGCGGCCAAAAACAGGGCCTCAGTCACGTGTCACTTGGGCACTTCCGGTGACCTAATTTGCGAACTGATTTGATTTGATTGATTTGATTTGATTCAAGAACCGACATCACAGCACTTGGGGCATTCCCATAAGCGCTCCATCCCCATCTTCAGCAGCCAGCAAAGAGTTCCGATACTAATGGTGCCAGTAGCTTTCTGATTAAACGTCCGTCTTGCCTTTCCTCTTAGCCTTGAGCTTCTGCCAGAACCTCTCGTCACCCCCAACTGCATCAATCTCACCAGACTGTTGTGATTCATCTGTTCCTCCGCATTGTACACGCTCTCCCACAAGGCACTAACCACGTCTGCCCTATCATCTAGCAGTATTCCACCAAGTTGTGCAGAGCCAGCCAGTCTGTGCTCCTGTTCATTTCCCAACACACCGGCGTAACCCGGTGAACAAATCCAGACAATACTCCTCACTTGTGTCCTCCGCAGCAAAGCATGCCACTCTGCACGAAGCATACCTGTTCTGATCTTCCTTAGCATGCTTTCTGAATCAGTTACAATTACAATGTGTGTGTGTGTGTCATGTTCTCTAGCCAGCGGAAAGCTACAGTGACCGCCTCCACCTCCATTCTTAAGCTGGATGTTGTGGTATCATATTCTAGGCTCTCCTGCACCAAACGTCGACCATTAACTTTTGCTAAAAAGCCCCAAACACACTACTACCACCGCCGAGAGTATCCCCCATGCCGCTTACGCTCAAGTCGCCAGAAGTACGCAACTGACACGTAACTGAGGCTCTCTTAGGGTCTTCTTTGCGGCCGCCATAATATGTGCCCGTTATTCGGAGGATAGCCTTCTTTTACT